CTCGGGCCGGGCGGCGGCGGCGGCGGCCTCTCCGCGGAAGCACCGCCCCAGTTCGCGGCCGCGGCGAGCGGGGCGGGCGCCGGAGGCGCAACCGCGGCCGGGATCGGTCTCGCAAGGCGGGCGGCGCGCGGTTCGGGCGCCCCGTGCGCCCCCGGCCCCTGCCCCGGAAAGGACTTCGTGGGGTGCGACGACGTACGGAAAGCAGCTGCGGGAAGGACCCCGAGGCTGCACCGCCCCGCTGGGACGGTTACTACTGCCGGGAAGTCAGGGAAGGGGCGCGTAAGGGGAGACATGCTAAAAGTGTGCAGGATTATGCCCGTTTCTCTGGCAAAGCGCCGCGCGCCATCGAGTTATCTGCAACAAAATAAGCAGCAGGCGCAAATGTGGCCGAAATGGGCGATATTCAAGCAGCAGTGAGGAAGCACTTCAGCCTGCGGGAGGCTGTTCTTGCTCTTGAGGAGGTCACCCTTGAGCCAAAGCACTTCAGAGACAGCCCCCAAGATGAAGCGTGTGAATTACAGATCACGGGCAGATCAGTTCTCTTGCCTGTGGCTTGAACGGGGAGCACGGGTGCCGGAGTTCGTTTTTTCCTTTATTGCCACTGCATGTCTTGGTCAGCTCGCCAGGGCAAGGCTGTCGCATCGCCCAACCACCAGCCTGTACTTTGCCTTTCCGTTCCCTCTGACCTCACTGTTTACAGTCCTCTGCAGCCAAGGGTGCGTGCGGCCTCGTTCCTCGGGATAACACCCCAGGCATCTGATGGAGTCACCAAACGCGTATGCTTTGCTTCTGTGTTTACCGTTTCACCTCCCACCCGAACCATGGGCCTATTGTGCTGGAACACGCCCCTGGAAGCCCTTTGGATCATAGCTTTATCTCCAGAAAAGTTTTAAAAAGCTTTGCACAAGGGTGCCCCGATGGTCGCTCCCTGTCGCACAATACCTGGAAGGGGGTGCTGTACATCTGAGAAAGGGAAGGGCGCCTTTTATCCAGAGTTCTGCTCTCTAGACGGACTGGCCCATCTTCCCAGCACACAAACACTAGGCTGGGGAGGGGGAGTTTTGGGGTACGGCAACTACTCGGTTACACACTCTTTCTAGCTCTCATCCGAGTCCCTGGAAGGTTCTGTCATGACCCAACCTCGGCGTGGCAGTGGGCTGCGGAATTTACAATCGGAACCTGATCACAGGCGACCCCAGAGAGATCAGGAGTGAGAAGCCCAGGACGTAAGAACCCAGCTATGCCTAGTTATGCATGGAAAGGCAGGAGCGGAAGGCCGGTATGGGCCATGTTGCAAGCAGAATGTCCGAATCCATGCAGGTTCTTTTCTTGTTGGTTTTCTCAAAAGGAAAGCTTGGAGGTGAGTCACACCAGACCAGCAGCTAGTTGACCTTGAATGCCAGTCTTTTAAGATAGCTAGCTGCCTTTTCATGAGAAACTAGCGAAAGGGGCAGGTTTTTTTTTTTTTCCAGACGTGTCACCTGGGCTGATAGCCAAGAAAAAAGAAAATGCTGTTTGGCATAGGCTTCCTTTATGAGCCATGTGTGTGGGCTTATTCTGGATTTACTCTTGAACCTATATTTTGGCTGTTGGATTTGATAGGCCTTGACCCATATGTGGAGTTATCCACAGAGATTTCAAGGCTGGAAACCTGTATGTGGATTTACTTAGGTTTTTTTCCCCCTAGAACCCGTCTTTGCTGCAATAGGATTTAAGCCCCTTGCCCTGTATTCTGAAATTTGTTGCTTGATTATAGTTATTAGCTTTTAACTGTTCTTGGAACTCAATATTGAACCTATAACTAATTGCCATCAGGTCCTGGTTACCTGAAGGAGCACTTACATCCATATTTGCCCAGTCGCCCCCTGAGATCGGCGGGAGAGGCCCTTCTCCGGGAGCCCTCCGGGAGAGAAATTAGGAGGGTGGCTACTTGGAGAAGGGCTTTCTCAGCGGTGGCACCTAAGTTATGGAATGCGCTCCCCAGAGAGGTCCGCCTGGCGCCGTCGTTATTTGTTTTTCAGCACCAGGCAAAGACCTTTTTATTTAAGCAACATTTTAAATGCTAACACAATTGAATTATTATTATTATTATTATTATTATTATTAATTATATTTCTATACCACCCATAGCCGAAGCTCTCTGGGTGGTTCACAACACTGAATTTTATCTGGCCAGGGCGGCTTATTTTATGTGTGTTTTAAATTATGATTATTTTATATGGATATTTTAACTTATTGTTTTATCTAGTGTTGTAAGCCGCCCCGAGGCTTCGGCGAATGGGGCGGCATAAAAATGTTTTAATAAATAAAATAAATAAAATAAATATGACTTCTGGAGAGTCTTAGCTATCAAGATTTTGCCATTTTATGTTCATCTTTGAGCTACAGTTTGGAATCTCTGTTAAGGATGGTGCATGCATACAGGCACACCGGTTGTGTGTTGAGAAACATCCCTAGAGTTTCAGCTTGTGCATTGTGATCCTAGACATGTGCACTTGGACATCTCACTGGGAACAGAGGGATTTATTCAGAAGTAAATGTGGCTAGAATTGCAGAAAGACCTGCTTTTTCACAATCAGACCATTCACTCCAGTGCTGTCTACACTGACTTGAAGCAACTCTCGTGGGTTTCAGCCAGTGGTCTTTCCCAAACCAAACTGCCGATCACCTGAATTAAACTGGAAGCCGTCTACATGCACAGCTTGCAAGCTTTCCCACTGAGCCAAAGCCCTTTTGTGTAGACTTAGAAATCCACGCAACACACTTCTGAATCAACGAATTAATCAAAGATACACACTTTTTGTGTTGTGATTTTAAAATTTATTTTTTTTCAAAATGAAACCATTGTACATTGTACAAACCATAGCTACTGATGGAATAAATAAGTGAAAAAATTAAACTGCTGTACAACACACAAAATCATTAAGATGGAAAAACGATTAAGTATTTTTTTTAAAAAAACCCACAAAATTCTTTACACCTTCTAGCAAGCCTTTAGATATAAAGAACATTCCAAAACATAGCAATGTTTTCATATGAAGAAAGCTACCCCAAAAGCCAGTAATTTTTATGCTGCCTCACTGATTGGTTGCTGCTGTTTTGTTAAGTGCCAGCACTTTTTGGAATGTTTGAACAACTACGTTCCCTCTAGCATAAGAACTTCAAAATGAACAGTTCTTCTATAAAAGGTTTGGCTGAGTAGATTGCCCATTTGGAAGGCCTCTACTCCCTACCCCATTATTCTCCCTTGACCCATAAAGAGCAGTTACCTTTCTAGTATATGTCTAGGTTGTAGTTTGTAGTAACCCAAGCTCCAAATGCCCAGCATGTAAATAAGGAAGCCCTTCTTGATATTTGCACCATTTCTAAAAACAAAACAAAACAAAAAAAAAAAACCTCAAACTGGGTATGATCCACGAAATACTGCTATTGTTGCATGACCTCCAAGGAGATTAGCAGAGATTCTACAACTATAGCATCCGGTGGACAGCATCCATTATCTGCATGAGAACATGCAGTCACGGTCATGCACTTCAAAGAACTCTCTCCTCTCCGCCACTCAGTGCTTTCAGTATATTATTTTTCAAGCAATTCCACAAAAACCAAATCCTGGATCTGGTACCAAGCCTCAAGTAATGTAGATCCCTTGCTTACTGGCTGGGTCTTAACCATAATTTTCAGACTTTAGAAGAGTATTTCACTGCACATCCAATGGTCTTTCAATGTTATCAGGCACTTCAAAGAAAGACGAGGAACAGTCCGTACAGAATTGTGAATTTCTGCATACCAAGCAGTGTCTAAATCCTTTCCCGTCCTGTTAAAAGGATACAAGATGACACTAGCAGGTTTTTTAAAAATCCAAATTGGTCTGCTTGCCCCCCCCCCCAAATAATTACTTATAGCAGAGGAACCAATATCGATAACTTTGCATGAGCTGCAAATCGAGTGTTGATACTTACAAAGCAAAGCCACTAAGCACTATGGTGATGCTGAGGTTTTTGAGACAAGGAAAAGCAAAACAATGGCACAGTTTATCAAAGTCTACTGTCACGCATCTTTCGTGTGCAGGGCTCAGTCTGCACGTGACGCACAAGCAGGCCCCATCGAAGACAAAGCTGGTCATGCAGCAACGGCAGGCTTTGCTGCACTGCCGTCACATTTATGGAAAGAAGCCACAGGAGGAATTAAGAAGCCAGTTTCAACACTAAGCTTATCAGTGTCAGTAATGCCAATAGATGTTTTTCTACCTAATGAAAAATTTGAGGTATTTTAGTGCTATTTATATTTTTTATTCATTTAAGTACAGGATTCAGCTTCAAAATTAAAAGTCCATCTACTTTCTTGGAAATTCTGTAAAAAAAACAAAAACAAAACACACAACCACAGGGATTGAAACTTCTACAGAGAGGAACTATTGGACATAACATAGCGATGTTGGTTTCGGAGATGGGGACCATTTTAGTGCTGATCAATTAAAAGGTACATAATTACAATTTTTTATTTCAAAAAATATATTTGTCTATTTCATAGATCAGCCAACGTGTTTTCAAAACCACCACACCCACCAACCCTAGTTAAATATAGATGTAATGTCCACACCAATTGCAATTGTCTTTCCCACTTTCCTGAAGCAGAAAAACAATGAGAGAAGTCAGTTTTTCATTTAATAATGTATATTGTGCAAATATACTGCCTCTTTCAGAAAACTGATGAACCTGAACACAAAAGAGACACTTTCTAGGGAGCACACTGGTTTCATGAATAATTTGCAACCAAATTTGATTTTAATGAGATGCAAAAGGTTTATTTCCACGTAAAAAAAGAGAGAATATTTTCAAACTTGTTTTTATGGCCCCTTTCTTTTCAGTTTAACACCTCCATAAACATTTGATGGAAGGCTGGAATTGGCACCCCTTCCAACTCCTTTCATAATTGCAAATGCAATACAGTAGTCAAAACACAAAGCCATTTTCACCATTGAAGCAGAAATAAAGCTTAGTCAGCATCAGTTATGCATAGTGTTTGGACTAGAAGTTATTCGATTAGTTTAAGGACTCACTCATGACTTCCGTTACAAACTAGACACAACCATATTTTGGCTGCAGGTTGTAGTTTCATAGTTACAAGACTCAACTCTTTGTTTTGCCACCTCTTAATTTTTCTCTCATTCAGACAAATATTTTCCCCACCCGTGAAAAGGAACCGTACGAGCTCAAGACTTTCTTATATGTGCAAAATACTGAGCACAGTCCAGCAAGTCCTAGTCACAACTAAGCCCCGCTGAAAACAATGGAGCGGGAATTAGTCGTGACCAACTTTTTCGCTGGACTGTGCCCACAATGCTTGGCATTAAAACACCCAATAGTCGCCATTGGCTGTGCATTTTCCACTGACACTAGACAGATGACACATGCATGCAGCCTCTACTGTTAAGTCGTGCATGCAGGAATTAAACTGAACTTTTCATAAACATGGATGGCTGAAGGAGAGGTTATGGAAGGAACAAAGCTATTTACAAGCTTCTCTTGAAACAAAAATAAGCCTCAGGTACAGTATAGCCTGGAATATGTATCAGTAAACATTAGTTAAGAACAGTACAATGAAATCCAGTTTTAAAAAATGATTTAAGAATACATCTATTCAAAACTACATCTGTCATCATGCATATGCCCATTCTAATGGACTCCCTTTACAAAAAAACTTGGATGCGGAGATTGAGATCTAGTAACTTAAAATGAATAATTTGCTTTAATACTTATCCAAATCGGCACTACTATAAGCAAACCGCACAGCATGTTTGCTTCAGGTAGATCAGTTTGGAAAAACTATACAGCCAAAAGGATGCATTTCATCAGGAAAATTGCCAAAGCAAACCATGTTTTCGTGCATACATTTCCACGGGGACTGCACAGGAGCAGTTAATTGGCCGCTTAGTACAGGGCACTAAAAAATAATCCCTGTAACAGCAAGAAAATCAAACGTGGTTTTCTCTGGACTCTGGATTCCAACAGTGAAAATGGCTTTCTGATTTCTCTCACGTTATTCCTATCCTACAACTGTAAAGCACCAGGGTATAAAATAGGAAAGAAAAAGAAAAACCAAGGAGACTAAACGCTTCCTAAAAGTGGCACTGTATAAACATAGGCCACTTTGCAAAGGAGACAGCTGCAAAAACAGATTTAAAAAGTAAGCACTGGTTTGTTTTTGTTTTGAAACACCAAGGCACAAGTAAACAAAAACAAAAAGCAGACATCACATCAGAACAATGAACTTCACATGAGAAGAGAATACCTGACCTGTACCATCCTTAAATATCTTAAAATGTTAAATAGAGCATGGAAAAAATACAGCAGCAACATAATTGTAATTTTGACATTAGAAACAGTGCGTAGACCCCTCCTGAGTTGTTTACTCCAACCATTTCAGAGACAGTAACTTAGATTCTCAATGTTTTGCTTCACAGGAAAAAAGTTTTCAGTGTCTGAAGAGATTAAGCTTTTGCTTGGTTTTCTTGGATTTTTGTGTGGTAACTTGAAAAGTTTATAGGAGTTCTGTCCTCATCCAAGAGAAGATACTGAAGTACGGTTGTTCTACAATTTAGTCCACTGATGTACCTTACATAAAAACTGGCCAGGAAGAATCTAGAGTTTATATTTCGTCTATATTTTGTTGAGAGGGAGGTTCTACTTTCATCTTTTTAGATGGTGGTACGCCATCAGAGTCCTTAATATTGGAGGAAAGAGAAAAAAGAATTAGCATCAGATTTAATTAAATCCAAGAGACTGTTCTTGTAATTCAGGGGTACAAGGTATCCCAACATGAGAAGTGTCACAGCCAAACAATTGTGCCACTCAATAGTTACTCTGCTATTTGCCTTCCCAGGTGTCCATCTCCCTGCTGGTCTCCACAAAGCAGCACACAAGATCACACACATTTAAGCAGAGGAATAAAATTTCCAAAAAAGTTGAAGCCATGGAAAAGAACCATGGGGTTTCTTAAGTGCAGACATTTTTGGAAGATTTGAAAACACAGTATTAGCAAGTTTTACAAACTGAATGTCCCGTTGGATGCAAGTCCTAACATCCTTGCAGCAGATGCTCTTAAAATTCCGAAGCTTATAAACATCCAGTATAAGGCAGGATGTGTGGCAGTGCCGATCTCCACCACAACAGGCCCTATATTTTATCCAGATGGACGTTTTTGGTCACCTAGATTTAGGGAGCGACGCTTTGGGAAGGAAACGGGGCACTAAGTGGAATCAGCACAAGTCCACAGCCCCAGCGCCCTCACCTCTCCCATTCCCCAGTACAAGCCCTTTCCCCTCAAGGCCTGCTAGCAAGAGGGGCAATGTCATTGTCTCCCAGACTTTGTGAGAGACCATAAGAGTGTACTATCATTACTTTAGAAATATAAAATGTATTATGTGCAAGATAGTTTGGCACACAATTATAGTTGGACACGACTGAACAGCTGAACAACAACAACGATTACAAACGGAATTTGTTTAAATTTTTATTTTGGTTTTTGTTTGTTTGTTTGTTTCTCTGTAAACTGAACACCTGAACTATAAGGAAACATTTTGGTTTGCCACTTTGAGGAACAGACTAAAACCAATAAAAACAAAAGAAAAAAACATTTTAGTAAAACGAAGAAAATTATATTTCATCCAGTCCTCTCCTCATTACAGTCATTCCCATATAAAGGACTAAGGGGGGAAAAAGGGAGAGCGGTGTTGAATGAAGACTCAACTGATATGCATAATGTTTAATCAGTCTCCTTTTCTGAGCTGTTTCAGCTTCTTCATCTTGGTCTTCATCTGAGTTACCATGGACTTCCCGGTTTGCCTGAACTGGAACAGGCTTGGCTACGCTTTCACACATCCGTTTACTGCTTGATTTGGTGCGACTCTTTCCAAATGCTGGCCATTGTTTTTCACATGCTGCACAAGACGGAGGAACCTGAAGCAGGCGGGAAGCAAGAGAAGCCAGAGGTGACGTGATGCAAAGGCCTTGCCACCATGGTCAAGAGGGTTATGTTCGTCAGAATCCCAGACGGCCTTCCTGGACCAAATTGCTGAAGACATTCTGTGTCCTGTGACATTTGGAAATACCTTTCTGATGTCGAGCCCTAAATGTGCCGCTTGTTTCGTAATCCAGCTAGTGCAGCAGAAGTACTACCATCACTTCACAATCTTGGATCTGATGGATTTGCAGCAGCATGAACCAGATGGCAGCAAAATCCTTCCTGTTCCTTAATGAAATCTTCTATACTTATAAGTGAAACTCCATTTAACTTCTTAGAAACCATTTTTGTTTTGGCTTTTGGTAAGGCACTTCTGACAAAAGTGCACTGGCTGATGCAGGTACAACTGAAGAACCTGACTTTAAAATCCTTAGGGAGTTCTGCTTCTGAACCCAAAAATTATCCTCATGAAGCCCAGTGTTCCTTACACTTCCAGGTTCTCCAACACCCTCAGCTATTAGTGTTTCTTAAACAATCTTTGATTTTAGTAAATTTTCAGAGGCACTCACTACCCCATCATGTTTTCCTAGTGTTTCAGTGCACTATTTTTTCTTCCTTTTCACTTCTTTTTGAAGACTGCAGTTACAGTATGAGTACAATTTTATCTTTTTAAACTTTAGTTCACCTGTAAATCTCATCTCATGGGGGGTGTTCATTTTCATTACGTAATTAAAGAAACAAGTTTAGCTCATGACGTGCACTAATGACTGGTTTATTTTTACATTTGTATGCCACCCCATATTCCATTTTCAGGTTCTAAAAATGGGGTTTCAGAAGAGTACATTTTTCTTACATGCAGTTGATCAATTTTTTCTTGATCTTCCTGTGCCATCTTGTCTGTCTGTCTGTCTGTCTGTCTGTCTATTTATTTAGAAGGCTTCTATGCCACCCCATTCGCCGAAGCCTCAGGGCGGCTCACAGCAAATGAAGCTAGTCAGCATGTTTGAATACACTGTTTGCAGTGTTTGGTTGCTTGAAGATGAAGATGCTGTTTCTCCTGGGGAACCTCTTTGTGATGGCGCTGGTGTCACAGAAGAGGCAAAAAGAGGACCTCTGGAACATCGGGGAAAGGTACTTGCACTTTAATCAGCACGGTCCTCCTTGCTTAGATCCATGAGGCATTTTTGATGTCTGCCAGGCACTTCTTACATGACATAAGGGTATTCTTTGTCCGCCCAGCAATACTTGGAATCGCTCATTTCATTTCACACTTTTGCAATCATACGTTTTTCTCAGCAGAACTTGCAGTGTGGAACAGCCTCCATATGCTAGATGTTGGTCTCATCATTTTGCTGAGGGGAGGGAAAGAAAAATAATTTAGTAGCTAGCTTGCCAAAAAATGCTAAGCTATGGTGTGTGTGTGTGCGCGCGTGTGCGCACGTGTGCGGGGGGGGGGGTTGCAAGAAAGCATCATTTAGTAGGAATTAAATTATGACTTACAAAAGGATTATGAAAATAAACTAGTGCAGTTAAATATGGTTCACTTTTCTGAATTTAGATTAAATTCAAACTCTTACCATTCAAAGAACTATATTTTCAGCTCTTTTTTGTTGCTTGGTACTTTCTCCCAGTCCTTTGAGTCCCAGTCAAGAGGACAGAAACAAATCCACCAACTATACCAACAAGAGAAAAACCACAAGTAAAGAAGAAACAGAAAGCAGCTTCCTTCTTGGGACAATGGCAGTGCCCCGAAGAGGCAGAAATGCACCTTGCTCTTGCACCTGAGAATTGTAGTCTTGGTTTACAATCTGAGACTTGCTTTTCCCCACCGCTTCAGGAAAACCCTTTCCCCACCTTTTCCCAGGACTTCACATAACATCTTTACATTTAAGTACTGCTACTGAACTTTTTCCCCACAAGACAGTAAGTATCAGAAAGAATCCAGAATACAAGCTCACAGATAACAGGGTTAAGTGTGGTTCTCAGAGAGAATAACATAAAAAACAGAAGTTGTCTCTACTACAGACAATTGTACTGGGTTCAGAATAACACGCAAACGTTACAAGAAGAAAGACTTTAACCCAAAAAGGATGGTTCAAACCTTCTGGTTAGGATTATAAAAAGAAGAGAAAATAAGATTTCAACTGCCAGAATTTGTCCTTTTCCAATCAGTGACCTTGGCATCTTTTCATCTTCGTTAACACTTTGGTTGATAAGAAGCATATATTTCTACAGTAGGTATATATGGCTTGTGGCGCTCCGTATGACGAACTCCAACTCACCACAGCACCAGCAAGAGCAAAATCAGGAATGATGGGGGTTGTAGTCCAACATCTGGAAGGTCAACATTTCCCAATCCTTAAAAGGACAATCATCTAACATTTCAGATTTACTATGAAACCCAGCTGAAATATTATAACATGTATCCCTATATTAATTTTCAGTTTGCTGCTCAGACAAGCTCCAAAGCATGACAACTGACTTACTGTTAACAGCTACCTGGAAAGAAATGTTAAGTGTCATATTAAAAGAAAACATGAATATGTTAAAGTTAATTCTCTGGGAAAGTCAGACCAAACTTTGATTCAAGCTGCTAGTGAGATCTTTGCTTGTGCCACAGTACCTTAATTTAAGGCTACAATTTATTTGTAAGGGAAGATGTGCCTATCGATTGCTTTGAATTACCTGAGAGTTTTTAGATGTCTCTGTGGTTATATCATTTTCTGCTGAAGGCTCAGTTTCCACTTTCTCTGAACTATTCATGGAATTATCCATTGACGATTGTGAATTCTGTTCATCAGAAGCATCTGAAAGAATTGGCAAGGTAGAACTAAAGAAAAGCAGTAAATACACTTTATCACCAGATCAGTGATTTTAGTTGTGCAAACAAGTTTCAATTGATTTAATACATATGTTTTCATGAAACTGAAACAACCATTTTGAAGAGGCACATTTCTTTGTTCCTAAATGATTATATTTATTTTGCTGCCTACATCTTCTAAGGAGCATTCCATTGTATGAGAACATGATGGAGGAATGGCTCTAAGACATATAAAAAAAGCAGATGACAGAAAGTAGTTTTTAAGATGAGCTGTCTGATCAAGGATTCCTTCCTAGTTGATTAAGAAAGTTTTACATTAATTAATCCAACCAACAATGCAGCCCTTTCATTTCATCCAGCTACAAAACTGCTAACATATCTGTATCCTTACCTAGAGAAGCAACAAAAAGATTCAGCACAATGAGATACCTGGTATGGCTCTCTATCAAATTCAGTAATTTATCAACAGGCTACAGGGTTCTTCAGCCATCCACTAGAGGGAAGCACAGCCATAGAGACACAGAGAAAGCAAACTGATAAACAGTTGCCTTTAAGAGCATTTGCAAATATTTAGACAATATAAATACTATATGGATATTCTACAGCAGGAATGGCTAGACTGGGATCAAGTGGTAGATTTAGGGGGTAATTTGCTGTTGATCAGCAAACCCCAGTTTAATAGCAACAAGGTTATTTTTCCAACCTAAACTAAGCTACTTGGGGGGAGGCCAGTTCAATTCTTGGTATAGGAAAAAAAATAATAATCCTAGGCTCATGATATGCTCCCCTGACTCTAGAATTCACAAGGCTGCAATATACAGTCTTGAACTGCAATCATTCCTAAAATGTTCAACACCATGAATTATTGTTTTGTACAGAAAGGCTTCTGGAACTATCATCATAGTATCTCAAAAAAGGAACAGTTTTTGCAATAAATAGCACATTGCTCAAATTCTAGCTCAATCTATCCAAGAATCCAGCCTCAGCTTGCAACTCTTTAAGCAACTATACTCCTAATACCATATAAATTCAGAGTCTGAAATGTGAACACAAGATGTAACTTATGCAGATTTGGTTTTCTGATTATCCCCACTAATTCATGTATTTCCTATTTTTTAAAAAAATCGGAGAGATTTAGGCCTCTCCTCTGAACAGAAAGAGTCTGATCCACATCCATATTATCTAACCTGTAATTAATGTTAAACCAGCAAAATTAAATTAGAATATAATTCTTACCAGCAGAATGAATGCATTTATAAATGCATACTAGTAACAAAAAAACACTTGATGCTTCAATAAAGCCAGGCTTAAAGAATGAAATTAAATTTGGCACCTGACTTGCGGTCTAACTAAATACAGGCAGGGAAGAGAGAGAACAACAGCCGCATAGCCAAATTTTTCCAATCACGGGGCTCACAGTGGAGCGCAAGGGCCGTTTGCTCATTCTTCACCTGCCTTGTGATGTCCTGAATCGGACACGGATTACCTGCCCTGTGTGGTCGTTTGCGCCACAGGAAGTTTGGAGGGCATGAAAAGGGAACTGGGCAGATTCACAGAGGAAGAGGCTGTCCGTGGCTAGTGGCTTTACAGTGTGCTTCCTCCTTCACCCGAGGTGGCAGGCCTGCATGCACCAGGTGCTGAGGTGCTTGGGCAAACGGAGGTCTTGTACCCACCCTGTCTGAGCAATCCTGCGGCCGCTGGCTCGCCACCATGTGTACAGAGGGCTGGACTAGAAGGACCTTTGGCCTGATCCAGCGTGGCTTTTCTTACGTTCTTAGGCTTTGCTGCTGTCTCCAATGCAGAGATTTCTCAACCCAAGGGAGGCCTATCCCCTCCTCGCTGAGGGATGTTTCCCACTGCCACCAGTAGCATAACTATGGTCATGCCCCAAAGGAGGGATGTGAAGGTGTTTGTCACCAACGCCACAGAAACGAGGCACGTGCAGTGGCAGCAGAGTCAATCTGGCTTGGCTGGTGCCCCATGCACACAAGTAGAACTAGCACGAGGAGGAGACAGCCCTTTCCATGATGAAGGAAAAGTCCAGAAATGTCCATAGAAAGATCAGCAAAGGACCAGGTAGAGAACCCTGAGAGGCCTCACCAGGGAGGGAAAAGAGCTTCCAGCTAGGGACATTACATTACATTACATTACATTACATTACATTACATTACATTACATTACATTAATTTATTCTCTCTCTCTCACCCCCCGCCCTATTTATAGGCCACCTATAACTGCCAAGGCCTTCAAAGGAGGCTTACATTAAAAAGCAGATAGGTAAAAAAAGACTGAGCTGAAGCAGTTAGAGAAGGAAGAGAGGCTGGTCGACTGTTTCAGTGGCAAGAGAGAGGTCAAGGACCTTGGACTGGCAGTGAAGAGGTCATCTGTGATTTTAGCAGAGCTGCCCCAACTTGAAAGTGAGCTGTAAAATTTACATATCATTCAGGCCTTGATCTAAGAACATGTATTACTGATAATAAGTATGTCAAATCACAAAGCAAGAAAAATGTAGGTAGAACAAAGGAACAATCTTCAGTACAGTAATAAGAGGGGTACACAGAGACCTTAAAAACTAGGACTTTTCTACCCAAATGGGAGACCCATGGAAATGAAGCCCTTCATGTGACAGAATGGACTGGGCCAATCATCTGCCAACTGCTAACAGGAGAACCTGCCTGCCATGATAAGATTAGGTAAGTATATTTATATGACTCACCTTCTGAGCCAGGTTCCTCTTTTGCATCCCCTTGAGGATCATCAGATTTTGTTCCAGAGCCATCTGCTTGCCCTGTTGAGTTCTGCTCTGGTGCAGGACTTGAGTTGCTGCTGTTCTCCTGCTTTATTGGTGAAGCATCGGCTATTGAACTCTGGTTGCTATTATCATCTGTAAATAAGAGATTGACTCTGTGAAAGATGAACAATCAAAAAATTGTTACAAATGCACACACACATACGCACGCACATACACAGAGTTTTGGTACACAGAATTCTCATGTGTTGGCATGTCCCAATATTTCTTCTCAAATCAAACAGGCACTCTCACTGGTGGAAATTCAACCAGACCAATGAAAGCATTCATATTTAAGTGATCTTTCTGTTACAGATGCTTATCTCAAGTATAATTAGTCATACGATTGGCAGTCTTGTTTGATGTTTGCATATAAAATAGGGTATGTGTACAGCAACACAACTCCAATTTTGTTTAAAGGGCTGAACTGATGAGTGGAGGCAGTACAAACACCTCCCTCCTGATCCAATACCAAATTCTACCCCACAACTTCTTCAATACCTCATGTTGGACGTAAAGAGGAAGCGAGATCGGCTTTCCCCACTTTCCACCTCTTTTGATACTAAACTAAGACAAAGGAAGAGGATAGACGTATGAACCAACAACCAGCACCACATCTCATCTACTCTGGACATCGAATATTTATAAACCCTTCACAGACCAGGCCTTTCAGAGATGGTGGCTGTACTTTGGGATTTAACTATCTTTTTAATGGATGCTTAAGAGGTGAAAGAGGCATTCTATATCTGGGATAGTGATGCTCAGTCCAGCATTTGCTCCATGGTAACCAGTAATGTAATAGCCAAGCTGCTTTCCCTGTCAAATCTTGACCAAGTTATAGGCAGTTGTTGTGCTACTGTACATACAGTAGCACACAAGGAGTAAGGAGTAGCAGCAAAAATTTTAGTACATCCAGATCAGTGCATGTGTACGCGCACGCGCACATGCGCACGCACACACACAAACACACAAACACAGAAAGCATAACTTGGTCCAGCTTGCAATCTTAGCAAAAGGAAGCCAAACAACCTTCCCACCCACAACTTGCACTCCATTTGCCCAAGATCTGGATACACGCTGCATGCGATGGTTGACTCATCCAGCACTGTGTCTCATTGCAAGGGCAGTGTAAATACCTGAATTACACTCTGTGACCACTTGACAGAAAGGAAAATACAAATGTTGGGATACAAATCAGTAATGGCTGCAAGGGCTGTGATAGAAGTTACTAACGTACAATTACCACTCTCCCATGGAGCAAAGCCCCCTTCTGGATGTACACCTTAATGGAATGAGAAGGTTTCAGAGTGGCAGAGAAGCCAAACGCAATGCAGCCAAGAGGCCTGACTCTCTCACTAGGGAGAACGGTGAAAGCGAAGACACTGGATGGAGATACATCCTTGCTCTTCAACAGCAATGGTCACATCAACAGAACAGACCAGCTATCTCTAGTGGTGATGGGGGCAGATAAATTCCTGAAGGGCAGCCGCAGTAGTTGAAGGCAATGCTAGTGGAAGATAGTGGCAGTGACACTCAAACTAACTCTGGTTAGTACTGTGCAGAAGCAGGCAAAGATAAACCACATCTGAATGTCCTTACCTTGAAAGCCCTATGATGAAATAACCCAAAGTGAAGTAAGAGATAGTGCCAGAAGATGAGACTCCCAGGTTGGAAGGAACTCAGCTAGCCATTGCGGAAAAACAAAGGACAAGTTCGAATAGCACTGTTGCTAGTAACACAACTAGGGCAAAGGCAAAAGAAGGGCTAGTGGTTGACAGGCACAGAGGTGGAAGAAAAGTCTGATGCTGCAGAACAGGTACTATAGGAACATGGAATGTGAGAAATATGAATCAAAGCAAACTGGAAACAGTAAAGCAATAAATGGACATTAAACAATTAAATAAGCAGTGTAAGTTGACTGAAGTTGATGGGAATGAGCAGAGTGCTTGGAAATGACACACTCAGAAGAAATGGAATGGCTCCAACACTGAGGCAGCAAGGGACTTTGATGCAAAATCTGACCGAATTACATCAATCAGAATTCTCAGAAAACCTATCAATAGAGCCATCATTCAAGTGTATGGCCCAACAAGAGATGCTGAAGAAATCATCCGCAGGCATCCAAGAGAAAACTGATAACACACCACTACAAGACATGCTGATAATCATAGATGACTGGAATGAAGAAGCAGGAAACAAAGCAGAATCCAATGTTATGGGAAAATTTGGCCTAGGGGTCAGAAATGAAGCAGGAGAATGACTCATAAAATTCTGGGAAGCCAACCATCTGTTTCTTGCAAATACATACAGACAACTAATCAGACAACACTGTCAGATGGCCAATACCAAAAATCAAATAGGCTATGTAATGAGAAAAGACAGAATAGCTATATTCCCACTGCCAAAACATGACCAGGAGCAGTTTGTGGTAATGTCCATGAACTATTAATGCCACAAATTAGAGTAAAGCTGGAAAAGAACATTAGCAGAAGTATACTGCCAAAATACAACTTAAAAACATTCTTGAGGAATTTAAAATCCACATAAAGAACAGATTTGCATTACTTGAATGCACTTGACCATGAATCAGAAGAAGTGTGCCTGAAACCAGAGAAATTCTCTTGGGAATATGCAAGAAGACAATTCCTATAGCAAAAAGAAAGAAAACCCCTCCATGGAACTCAGCGGGTAAAATCAAACTGCAGTTTTAGGGTATATCAGATGACAAAATACCCTTGAAATTGCTAGTTCAATCAAACCATCACTAAAGTACAATCAATCCTGGCAATGAAACTTCAGGCCAATCCATTCCTTGACAAACATCTGCTTAGAGGCATGTGGGTTTCTCTTTTACAGATACACTCCAGCCACAGGAATTTAGAACCTTAACTGAATGACTGTAAGGAAGACCAATTCCACTCTAGGCTCATTTTATAAGCTCTCTTTTTAAGTAGCTCTCCAGATTTTCAAGGGAAAAGCTCATGTTTTAACATGAGGAGAATTCACAGCTCAATGCTAGAACCCATGATATTCACCCACAAGATTCAAATCAAACCTTATCATCTTCAGTTAGAAGGAGCCGGTAACAGATGATAGCAAAGACCTGTACCCAGACCTTGAAAAAGTACTTGGGTGAAACAGACCAATTGTTCAGCTCCATACGAAGGGCTGTTTCATAAGATATTCAAAAGATCTAGATGGCCTTATACATCACAAGTACATGCTATGCTACATGGTTCTTGACTAGAGCCAGAACTGACGTCTTAAGCACAATACTCAACTTCGGAAATAAGAGTGAAGTTTTATACGTTCCAAACCAAGCATGGCTTCATTCAAATCCGAAAGTGGTCTTGACCAAAGAATTTCTCTCTAGAGTTTCAGTGGCTCCCCCACACACACTAGCTGAAAGATGCTGGCTAATAAAAGCTATCACCTTACCTACTTTGCCTCTCACTGAGACATCCAGAATTGGAAAATTATAGAGTCCACTATGGTAACCATGGTAACATTTAATGACTCACTTTAAGTGTTACTCTGTCAAGCACACATGCTTCTGGAGAGAAAGCTTTAATTTTCCAGATTCGCTTTTATCATGTTGGAGGCTTTCCAGGGATATATACAGCAGGAGCAAAGAAAACCCCGTGACCCAGAATCCCTTCTGACATCAGAAGAGAATCCAGAGCAACGCTGAAATGCAGCATCTCCAAGAACGAAGTTCCATGTTTCTCACAGCAGTGTTTACTGGGTGCTTACTTAGCCATTACTGATACAAAGTTTAAGGAGGTTGATTTAAATGAAACTTTAGGAAAACCTTCCCAGCAATCAGATCATACAGGCAACCTCCTTGTTTTCTAGGTAGAAAGACTGCACAGTCTCCAGAGATCTTCTAAGTAAGGCTGAACCAATCATTTCCCCATTTAAGCAGCTGGGTCCTGATACCCCAGGGACAGAGAACTTAATACCATTAATTATTCTCCAAAATAATCTACCATGGCCTACAGTTTTGGCTAGCATTTGTAGCATGTCAAAATTGCAATTTCCACCAATGCTACCTCTTCCTGAAGTGGAGAGGCAGGATCTTATCTGTGACTTCATAGAGAAGTCCAGCCTAACTAGAAAGACAAGGCCCCCACTGCATCCTTTCCGCCCAGCTCCGAATTAGAAACAAGAAGGGCAAAAAATCTCTCAGACCACATACAGAACCCCCAAGTTTCAGCTTTCTGATTTTCTCCAAGGCGCTCAGTGACAATTCCTATACCCTTCTTCCAAGCCGAGAATTCTCTTAGACTTCATATTGAACAGTAGTCTGTGTGACGCTACCTCTACCATAAATTATACTGTGCTTCTAGTGAACACAGATAGCTCCTGCTGGTACAATGAATGTTGGAGGGGGACGTGTTGTGCCAGCAAATGCTACTGGCACTGTGCTAGAGGCTGATCCCACAAACACAATGTAGCATGCGAGTAGCAAAATTGCACTAGATGCTGCTTATCCTATCTTACTGCTTTCAGATTTTTTTTCCCAATTCTTAAAAAGGTGCAGTATGCGACACATGAATTCAGAGATGCAGCAGATCAAACTAAATTAGCACTCAGCAAAGCTCTGGAGAACTTGATTTAAGCTTTCTCACAACCTTTGGAAATTAGGCTAAGGGCCCATTTTCTTTCCAGCTTACTTATGCAATGATACCCCCTTCCTCTTTTTCTTACCAAATGCACTAGCACCCATGCAACACGAAACCTGCCTTTAAAATGCTCTATCTGAAGGAGCGCCACCTGTTCGCTGAGTTATCCCTATTTTAAAATCTGAGGTTACTGTTAGAAGCCCTTTGGATTATGATGTTAAATCTGCTATTAAAAGAATGATTTACTCTGGTAACAACATAAGGAGGGATTACAAATTCTCAACAATGCCCATTTTCTGTGCTTTTATGTAACCAGTACTAGACCTGAACAGAAGAGCGAGTCACCTTTCAATCCAAGCGGAGAGCAACTGCGCATGCCTGGAAGCTCTACCCACGCCCACGGCTGCCAACGCCAGCGCAGTCTCTCCACTCCACTCACCGTGCATATCCATCATGCCAGGAGAAGAGCTGTTCTCTGGAGTCGTAACCTCGGAACCACACTTTTCATCTTTGCCCTTTTTCTTGTTCTTGGCTTTCTGTGGGCAGGGAAAGAAAAGCATGAGTTTATGTGCCACCGCACTGAAAGTCAACTTTCTGGGTCAGAAGCTGGATTTCAACACCTATAACAAACTGTGAGTTCTTGGCCCCTAGTTCCACACCTATAAATTTGTTGTAAGCCATCCTGGCTGTTCTTGGTTTGCTTCTTTTAAAAACAAATTCTTAAATATTGTATAAAATGTATAGGATTTATAATGCTCAGCTTCAATTTATTCTATGATTTCTTCCTCATAGAATTTCAACTGACTGAAATGGATTCCAGATAAAACAGAGGTTCTGTAGGTAGATAGTTTTTGGGTCCAGGAGTTGGGAAATTTACCTGTTTTGGGTAAGCTTGTATTCCCTCTACAGAAAAAGGTGTGACTACTCCTGAACAGGAAAGCCAGACCAGAGTGGTGCTTACACTGGTAACTCCCAAGACCGGGCTGCCGCAATGTACTTTATGTGGGGCTACCCATGAAACTGGTTTGGAAGCTAAAGCTGGTGCAGAATGTTGGACAGTTTGTGAAGTTTCCTGCCCTGCACACAAAACTCCTGTGCTGAAAGTTCTGTGCTAGGTTCCAGTTCGATACCGTGCCATGTTCAGGGTGCTGCCACTGGTTAGAAACACAGCTGGGGACCAGGTTTATCCAAGAAACCCCCCTCCCCTATATAGGCAGCCCTGGCTCTTTTCTGGGGAGGAAGCCTTGCTTACCTTTCTACAGGCTACCCACATTCCTCTGCCTTCGATGCGGAGGCGCCCCTTCTCTACTGTGGCAGCCACAGTGTGGAATGACCTCCCCACTGATGTTATGCAAGTTCCCAGTGCAGGGTGTTTCTACTGACAATTTAGCACACATTTGCTTGCCCGGACATTTCCCTGATGGCAAGCACTATCAACTATTGCTTATTTTGAATTATATGTGTTATTGTTTGTTAGTGTTTTATCAGTTTCATGACATTTCATCATTATTTTCTTTTCAAAATCCAAAAATATCCTTAAATGCAGAAAAACAACTTTTAACTCAATGTATTGTGAAAGTGTTTTCTTTCATACAGGGTTACAGTTTCAGTTTTAAGGTATCATAAAATTCTTTGCCTTGACTGAACAGGTTTGTATTAAGCTTGGATTTACACTTACAAAGACTTTAAAGAGATCTTATTGCTACTGATATTTTAAAACATGTTTTAAATTCAAACATTTGATTCAAATAATGTATTCTTCATCCACTCCGATGGAGACAACAATTGGCTTAACATGAAACTGAAAACCTAGCCGGATGCTACATGGACCATGAGTCAACCCATTTCCCCAAAATGCTACCGGCGTTACAGAAGATAAAGCAGCAGCAAAGTGGAAGATGATAGTATCCGTCGTGTGAAAAATCCATGCATGAAAAAGGATGCGGCATTTTCAATTAGAAGGTGACGTAATTGGTCTCCTAGGAGAAAGTGCCAGCTGCGCCGCTCTCAGCATACCCAGGGCCTGCTGAGAGAATGAAAAGCCAGATGCTTGAAAGGGGGCAGAGAGGGGAGGGCACAGCTCAGAAATGAGAGCATTAGGGTCAGGCAACACTCTCAAAATTAGGAGCAGATGGCCCAGTAACAGCTCCTTGCCACAGAAGGCACAGTCTCAATGTGGGGGATTTTTGCTCTCAACAGCACTTTATGTATGCTCCTACAAACAGGTGAAAATGTTACAGCCGTGCATATATAGAGGTATGCAATAAATACATATTTTAGTATGTTAATTGTAAAGACAGGTGGCTGTAAAGATTATCATATGATGTAATCTTCAGCACTGCAATCCCAAAGTGGATCTGCGTGGGCAGAATAGCATCAGCATTTGCCTCTGAAAAATGGAGAGAGATGCTTTCTAAGAGAGCTGTTTTGTCTTTAAAATAAATTTTCCATGATGCCAATGTATTATTAAATTTTATATTGCATATTAGTTATTGGCTATGAAAAAGGACTCCTAGCCAGTTATTTAAACACATTTAAGTAAGTTAGTACAATTAAAGCAAGGCAGTCATTTTCCCTGTCGCAAACATTCCATTTAAATGCCAACACTACATTGCATCTTTCATTCCAATGGCAAGTTCTTTGTTTTGAAACAAATTGTTAAAACTTAAGGAGATGGAAGCCCAGAGGAAAGGGAGATGTTTGCTCCTTCTATTACTCATATTCAGAATACGCCCAATCTTATGCCTGATCTATAGCCTGCAAATTTTCTAGTTTTTCTCTGCAACTATGAGGTGGATCAATTTGCAGTTTTCTGATTATTATACTGTAATTTCAAGATTCCTTTGTTTCACTCAAGATACCCTGAAGTACTTACATCATCTACCTTGGGCTCTGTTACTGGTACCCATTTGTAAATCCTGAGGGACGTGTCACCAACTGTCACCCACTTCTTCTCCCTATGAAAACAAGATAATATTAATTGAAAGCAGCATATTCAAAAAAGTTCCAGTAATCAACCCAAGAAAGAATTCAATGAGTTGTTCAAATCTTCCGCTGAACTGAGTAGTATACCAAAACCATGCATATTAAGACAAAAGACAACTGTATCCAGTTGACACTTTCCCTGTTCAGAGGCTTCTTGTTTAGACAGACTAACAATTGGCATTACAGAGAATAAATTCCATCCATTCAAGAACTAAAAGTATTTGCACACAACATTTAGCAGTATGACAACATGCGGTATTTCACAATGGTACATATGAAATTTGAGCAAGGGGCATGACAACAGCTATCATTTCCAGAGGTTTCGCAAGTGTTAAAGTTGTTGAAAATAGCTATGTACTGTATACCCAAACACAAGCAAGGTTAAAATCTGATCCATACAACTCCAGAATCCCATTGTCAGAACATCACAAAAGGACATATCCATGCCCTCCAGCCTCTTGTACAAAACCCAGCCAGTCAAACAGCTTGGGATGGCTAGAGAACTATTGTACAATGGGAGGTGCTGCGACTCCGAAACCAAAATTTTATGAAAAATTTTGGATGCACAACACAAGGATGACAAACCTTAGTTTAATTCCTAGTTCAAAAGAAAGAGAAAGCCATGGTTTGCATCAAACCAGGATAATAGGCAGGAAGCTTTCTGCAAATGAGAGAAGGCAGCACCTGAACTAAGGATCCCCAGAGCTGATTCAAGTAATGCCAAACCATCATTTGGCATTACATCTGAAGTACCCCGTTATATTTCTTTATGATACAACAAAATATGTGTGCGTCATTTCATAAGACGGATGGCAACTGAGACTGTGCTGTTTGCAGCAAACATGAGTAACAAAAGCAGACAGGCAGCAGGAGAGGGATAAGGCAGATCCCCTGGTGTGCCTCATGTGGCCTCCAGCCTTACTTTGTAGAACAGACTGTCTGAGATCCAGATGACTTTTCACAATGACATTATGATAGGAAGAAGTACATTTTCTCTGTTATGTGATACAACACTTCTTCAAATTTTAGGGAAGGTTTTTGAGGTCACTGCTGATCTTTCTGTAGCTGAATCGCTCCTATTTTTCCCAATAGCTATAACTGAACTTTATTTAGCGGGGGACTTTCCATTCAGAAATGTGCACCAATCTACTTTTAACACTACATTATAAAAGCACTGGGTGTGCTACTCTGACATTTGTGTAAGCAGTACGCATTTTCCATATGGCATGACAATTCTGAACCATCTCAACATCCTCAGTTCCTAAAGGACAACACCATAAATAGTTTGGTTCCATCCACCATACTGCCCTACAACTGGAAGTCTCTGAAACAGAACTCAGTTTAAACTTGCCGGTGTAGCAGTTAAGGCAAAGCGTGCCTCAGGTAATTGAACACAAAGCGCTGTGAAAGTGTTTCCAGTTATGAAAGCAAGAACTACACTGCCTTTAGTCTACTAGACTTCTTCCTACATCAAAGTATTAGAGATGCCACATGCAAAAAACAAACAGTCAAAGTAGTTGTTAACATTTCCAAGCATTATTCCTTTGGGACTGGTCTTAAGTATGTATGACTTAAGAACATCAGAGAACTTCACTGTAGAGTGATACTAGCAAGAATACAGAATGCAAATGTAGCATTCTTCAAGCTTCAGTAGGGAAAAAAGAGAAAAGTTTAAAGATATTCCCAAAATTGCAGACATTCAAGATTTAAAGAATTATATCCTTCAATTTAAAAAGAATGCCTAGCCTCAATTACCTGCCCTTCAAAGTCAAGTCTCTAATCAGAAGCACTGTTTAAACTGCAATTTTTTCTTCTTTATAAACATTTGATCCAGCAAAATCTACATTAAGAAAGCACATATGCTGTTCAATGTAATTAATGTATATTCCATCTGTAACACTTCTATAATACAGCTAAACTAAGGAAAGAATTCTGAGTATGGACAGAATTCCATTCATAAGCTGCTGATCTAGTCTACAAATAACCGCTTTACTACTTAAGACAAGATCTTCCTCTTTTGCAACCAGCATCAACCAATCATTTTTAATTATTTCTTTCCAATATTTTATTTGTTCCTAAGCTTGCTGCTTGGCAGTCACACTTCTGGATCTTGGTTTACCCCTAGCCTTACTGATTGTGAATGGACTCTTCTACCTGTGGAAAAGCTTATCTATTATAATATTATCAAATTTGGGAATCACAAGGACTTGATATGCATTACTATGAGCCAATCTTCCGGAGCAAAACCACAGCTCACGGTAATCACGCTTTATATAAGCAATGTTATTACAGACAATCCCAGGAATGTCTCACCTCCCAGTTCCTGCTTCTTTAAAGTACCAATGAAATCAATATTTCTTAAGTGTGTCATTAAGCACAACTTTTTAACAGGATTCAGGTGCACCTGGACTTTTTTCAAATTGTATCCTGCATTTGCAGAAAAAACAAAGGTGCCTGCTGCAGATATAAGGAGTATAACTTTCAATGGGCATATAAGTTGTATATTAAGAGAAATCTTTTCATTATACTCTTCTTTCAAGCCCTGATTTCATGATATGCCTAAAAAAATATTAGCTCCTTCAAAACTAGTTACAGAGGAGGCTCCATCTGGTAAACAGAGGGCTACACCCCCTTCCCTACCACCTAGGCTTCTGATATGCACTAAACCATCAGAAATCTGTAGGCCTCAGAATTTTGCTCTCATCAACTAAGACAATCAACATCATGAAGCCACAAGAAGACCGTACAATAAACCTTTATGTCTCAAGCAGATGTTTGGCTGGAGGCTGAAGAAACCAGTTTTGCAGTAGAAACATCTCTCAGTTCTCGTATCACCAGTGTCAGCAACAACATCAATAGAGCCATGCCTGTTCTCAGCAGTTAGGCCCAGACAAGGGTGGAGAGAGAACCAAGCGTGGGAGGTAGCGAATGGCTACTAACTTTTCTGGGATTCCCAAGTCTGGAGGTGTCCCTTAAGTAACAGGCACAGAACAGTTTTGTGGAGTGCCTCCAAAATGACTTTTAAAAAATCCTCAACACTATGTACAACGCCAGTGTACACTAAAATGGATGCCCTATGAATGTCAAATGACAATATACAAGACACAATAAAAGCCTGGTGAAACACTCTGAACCCCATATATAGTACGTATCACTACCTTAATACTTTATTTCTTGTCAAATTTGACCATGAATAACTACATAACAAGTAAAGAAAAGGTGACAGCTTTTTTCTCGAGCCCACAGTATATTTTAAGTTTTGTCAGCCACAGTCCTGCCAATAGCCACAGAGTAACAGATATGGAGCATATCATACATGAACTTGATTTGGGTATGAACACAGAAACCATTAGGGTTTGGTTCAAAAGAGCGCTCAATATATTCCTATGATGTATATGGCATCCACCATACCTGTGTCTTGTGTACTACTGCAAAATAGTTGTCTTCTGGTTATTACTTTTACGTCAACTCTCCACAAAGGAAGTATTGTAGTTGTGACTGCAAGGAACTGTCTATGATCTTTAGCAAAAGCAAAACCATTCCACTCATTCTTTAAAATCTCAGTAACAAAACTTAATAACATAATCTAAATCTCAGTAATTTTGCGTACACGATAATTTCTCCCTTCAATTTTTTCTTTGCAAGTTTTCAAGATATATACATTTATAGTTTAAGTAGAACACTTGTTTAAAAAGAATAACAATGGAGTGAGGCAAGCCAACAGGCCTTTAAGGCGTTCAATGAAGCATAATTTAAGAGACCAAATCACAGGTTCTGTCACTATATACAAGAGAAGAGAAAAAGGTACACGAGAAAAATTACGGTTTTGTGGTTCCCAAGCCTTTAGACCAGCAAACCATATTTATTATAAACGTTTCCCATGAAGGTTGTCCATTACGTGCCCTCAAATTTATTGCCGCTGTGGCTCAACTATATTTAACTTTTTCCCCAGAGAATGACTAGAATTATGAAATGCTTGCCCATTTTGGATCTCTGAAGCCCACAACTATGGAACTTCTCAGACTGCTTCAGCCATATGAGCAGCTGCAAGTAGCATGCAGCCTATTCAGAAGTACATCGATTCGGAAGTAGGGGCCAAAGAGTTCAGTGGCGCCTACTTCCAAGTAAATGTGCATACAACTGAAATCTTACACTACCTAATGAGGAACAAAGGAACTGGCAGTGGAAGGCTTAAACATTTATCAGTTAATCAAAATCGTTCTGATTGACTAAATCGATGCCTTCAATTAATCATCCCCGCTCAGATTGTTAAAATATTTTAATTAAAAGTATTTGGATAACACAGATAGAAAGTGCCATCTTTGTACACCTTCTTGCACAAGAGGAGGAATTCCTCTAAGACGATACCTGCAATGCTGCCATATAGTGCAAAAAAGCTACAAATTAAAAACTCTTGTATTTAAATCATTTCTTAAAAAATAACAGTTCTGATTATTGTTTATACTACAAAGTAATCAGTAACACCAGAAACCTAAATGAATACCAAGTCACTTTTAATAGTATTTAGAGGCAGGTTATGAAGCAGAGAGCTCCTCTTTTAAGAAGTTCCCCTATCATCCTGAAAAAATAGAGGTGTTTGTCTGCTAGTGTACTAGTCAACTACAATGCCACAATTATCTTAATATCTTCTGAATTTGAATTAGGGGCCCAGACACAATAGAACAATTAGAAACTATTTAACTTGTAAGTAGCAAAACTATTCAATATTTTAGATTTTTATATGCTTGGGAAATCAGGTTCATTAAGATTTTTCCAGCTTTGTTTTAACCATGCATTACTTTTCCTGAACAGCACTGAACATATGTTAGCTTCCAGCACTATTATCATGCAAAAAGGCTTAGCAACAGTAATTTTCCTGCAGCCATTTTTAACCTTTCCATGCAATTTCTCATATAGAAGCAAAACTGTGATACAATAGTTTCATGCCAACAATATTTTATTTTGAGAAGGAATCAGAATGTAGAACTATATGACAACCTTTCACTGCATATTCGTAATGAAGAGATCCACTGTTCTTTAAGGAAACAAATGTTGTATCCCCAATTTACTAAAAAAAAATGTTCATTAGAAATCAGATCTACATAAATTAAGGGCATGAACAACCCTTTCAAAATCACACAGGTCTGGCAGCAATTAGAAAGTTGCTCTTTAAAGAGAGTTTGCCATATCAGGGTTGAAGTTTACAAAATTTCTACAGAATCCCATCGGTCTCATTTTGAAGGAACGAGCCACTGCACTAACCTGTGCACGGTTGCTATGACAACAGAAAATGCTGGCAAAAAAAGTTTCACATGGTTTATTTGTTGAGCAAGAAGAAAGGTTTCTCATTTCCTCTTCTTCCCATGCCTTTGCCAGAGTAGGACAAAAGGAAACAAGAAGCACGCTTACCTTCAATAAAGCACAACAAACAGGTCATCAAGCACTTCACTGCAATATTGTAGATAAGGAGCACTGCCATCTCTCCCTGTATTCTGTTCGAAACAAGGCAGCCAACAGCATTTTCTTAACCACACAGAAGCACAGAACTTCATTCTATCTGGACTACAAGGTTGTCAGTGTCTCGGTTTTTCAACACAATAGCTTGGATTTCTCTTCTAAAACCTCTCTTTCTCTCTATACATCAGGAAAAAAACAGCTTGATTCTTTGCCCAATGCAAGTCAAACTGAACTACAGACAAACATCACAGCTTTTAAAGCTGCAGTCATCCACTATGGGAGAAAAAATAGCCATACATCTATTTTCCTATATTCTGCTTGTTTACAAATGCCAAGAGAAGTTGCTACAGAGGAACTGTACTGTATCTGGTCAAGTATAACATCTTTGAACTATACTGAATCAGAGGGAGTATGAGAAATACAAAATAGGTTAAAATTACAAAAACTCAAGTTGCTTAAACAAAATAAGGCTCTCTAGAATTACATTCATACCATGCTATCTGATCTAAAAATACCAAACTGCACACTGATTGCCTATTGTGCTTTAATAAGCATTCCACTGTATTGTTTAACCATGCCACAATGATGTTCAAATAAAAAACTTCAAAAAAATCCCCCACAAAAGAATAAAATGTTAAAGTGTTATAAAGGTTTAACAAAGGGGGATGATTTTACCAAGGCTACAACCTTCCATTATATAATTTCAAACAAATTCAAGTAGCAATTACACCCTCTCTTTCTAGTTCCAACCAGGGTTTAAATCATTGAGTTGCACCATATAAGCTAACAGTTTTGATTTGTAGTATGGAACTTAAAAAAAAAAAACTTTGAAATAGATCCATCTGGCCAATCTATTCCTATTCCATATTCTAAACCTTAAGCAGAATTAACCCCTTTAAGATTCCCCTCTGAATTGTGCATAAAAACTTTTGAATCGATCATGTTTGAAAGAGCATGAATGTATTGAAGGAAAAGATGAAACAATACTCTTGTAGTGGGGAGCCCAAGTCGCATAATTCTCTATCTGCCCTATTCACCATAGTATGCTGGCTCCACACCTCTATTTAGAGCCTAATGTTTCTATTTTAAAAAACAAATGAAAGGCACATCATACATTATCATACCTAACCCTTACCTACTCCCAAGTCAAGCAAAAGGGAAGGAGGCCAAACAAAATTTCACTTCAAGTGTGATCAGAAGTCAGACAAAGGGAAAAGCAGCACAAACAGCAAAAGATCACTGCAAGGTACTGTTGGGCAAGAGGCAACTAGAAGAGATACTATGAAGGGACCTTAGGCAACCCATGAAAGATGCTTTGTTAATCATCACAAAACCAGTAATACGCCCATTGGTTAGACTGGTAATAAAGAAATTGATGAGGGGAGCGTTCATTAGGTACCTAGAGGGGCCATAACTAAAAAACATAACACATGCTACGCTGTGAAAAGGCTCCAGGTTCAACCTCTGGCATCTCTCATTGAAAGGATCTGAAGTAGACAGAAAATACCTCCATGGAAGAAGGCTGCACAACCACTGTGCAATACTGGGCCAGGTGGGAAAACGTCCGGGTTCTATATAAAGCACCATCCTGTCAAGTCATGGATGGCATACGAGAGGAAAGAACAATTCAAAGAAGGAGGTTGGAATTGTTCTTCTCACTCTGATGAAGAGTCTATGAAACAGAACAATCTATGAAATGAGGAGCCACACTTATATCTGGAGGTGTGTCCAAGCACCGTGATAGTAGTGGCACAGATACATTCAGGGTACACGGGAAAGGCTTACCTGGAGCAACACACTGTTGATTTACAAAAAGGGGATGACAGAGAGGTGTGGAGAACTCGCATAGCAAAGCCAATCAAAGATGAGATCTCCAAGCATTCATTTAATAGGTTCATAACAAAAGGGTCAGATAAAAGGGGAAGATGGAAAGGTGAATGGGCAGGATCCATGGCCCACTGCACAAGTAGTTCAGACAAATGTAGAAGACGGGGCATGGGTACAGAGAGGGGAGTGTAACATGAGTGGGGAGAAGGGCAATAGACTGCCATTAGAAAAGAGGGAAAACACAAGGCCCTGTAAAAGGAAAAACATCCAAAACACATGTTTGGCTCCTAAATCAAGGATCCTGGATGAGATGGCAATGAAAGTACCAAATGGAAGAGGAGCAGTGGGGCAAAAACCCAAGGGGCATGGAGCAGGAAAAGGGGGTGAGTCAGTATAAAGGGAGAAGGCAAGAGAAAGAACCAGGAGAAATATGGTTCATCTGAGGGAGCTGATAGTGTCAGTTTTTACTAGGACAGAACCAATACAAGGCACTGGAAGCACGTTAAGGAAAAACTAATATGAAGAAAGTGATAGAAGAAAAACTGATGGAAAGTGAGGGAGTTGGTGCAGGGGTCTAGGGGATGGAGAGAAGATGAATAAGGAAAAAGAGATGCAAAAAGTCCTCAGGGGGCAGCAGAGTGGGGTGGCTACAGCCAATACAGAATCGTGCCTAATTACAGGAGCTTTACAGATCAAAGAGAACTACATCAACAATTATATGCAGAAGGAGTTGGGGAAAACAAAAATGGGGAAAGAACCCAGAGAAAAGCCCGAGTTTGTGAGACCGCTAATAGGCCAGAGCTTGGGGTGGGGAGCGTTGGAAAGAGCATCAACAAGAAGGGGGCGGGAAGAGCCCCCAAGGTGCTCCGAAGAAGTTGATGGGAGCTTTCCCCCTTACTGTGGGGCAGAGAAAGATGACGATTAATAAGGGGGAAAGGTCTGAGGAATATATACCAAGCCTTGAGGGAGGGGCTACATATGAGGATGAGAGGAGGGAAAGGGTTAGGGTGGGAGGGGGCCAGGAAGCCACATAAAGAGTGAGACAATGATAAGAAGAAATAGGGGGCATGGGGGCGAGGTGGGGAGGACAGAGTAGGCCGTGCGGACCTGATGCGCTACGCGAGCGGTCCTCCTCCCACGGACGCGCTCCGAGGGGTCCGAGCGCGCGGCGCGGGGGCCACATGTCGGGCCGGCCGCCGCCGCCTGCGCCCCCAGCCGGGGAGGAGGAGCCGGCATGCCCGAGCCTTGCCTTCCTTCCCGCTCGCCCCGACAGAGGCACGGCGGACCGACGAAGACCGCCTCTCGCTCTGCTCAGCCTCTCCACTCACCATTTGCGTACTTTCTCGATGGCCGCCATCACCCGCTTGATATCATCCTTGGCCCGGCTGCGGGTCTCGGCCCGCACCGACCGGCCCGACATGCTGCCGCCGCCGCCGCCGCCGCCGCTGCCGCTGCCGAGGCGGGAGCAGCCGAGGAGAGAGCCGCCCGCGGCGCGCGCCGGCTGCCCGGCTGGCTGGCTGGCGCGCGCTTTCTCCTCGCTCGGCCGCACCGACGGGGCAGAGGCGGAGGCGGAGCGGAGGCGGAGGCAGGCCCGGCCTTCGTCGCTGGCGGCGGCGCCCCGCACGCACAATGAAGGCTCCCGGCTGGCCCCGCCCCGGCCCGGCCCGGCCCGCCTCGCCTCGCCTCGCCTCGCCTCGCAGGAAAGGGAGGACGGCGGCTGGACGGACGGGCGGATGGATGGGGCGAGGGATGCTTGCGACTGAGGCGAGCGATGGGCGGGGGCGGCGCGCGAGCGGGGCGCAGCGCGCAGGCGCGTCGGCGCGGGGCGCACGCGCACCTCGCGCCCCGAGGCCCCGCCCCCTCTCGCGGAGAGGGGAGGCGAGCGGGGAAAGGGCCGAGAGGCGTTCCCGCGCTTTTATTCGGGGAGCCTTCCCCAACCGGGCGCCCCCCGATGTGCTGCGCCCCCGGGCTCCCTCCTCCACGCCCCCGGGAAGCTTCTTCGTGGCACGTGTCAGTGACTTTTTTGAATCCCGATCTCTCTCACACACGCTTGACGAGCGTGACGTTGCCATTGATTTTAAATAGCTGTTCGGATTCGTTTTTCATTCAACCCATCTTAAAAATCCACCTTTTCTGCACCCTAATAACCTACGTAAGAAGTGAAAAGCAAATGCCACCTGCTTGGCCTTCGTGTTGTTCTTGTGAGGGAGCAAAAGAAAAAGCCATACAGGACCAATGAGTAAAATGTATTCATTAAAAACTCCCTTTTCCTAAAGGAGAAAACCTCCACATTTTTCGCAGCAAGAAGCATGCAATCTATAAAAGCGAAGTATTTTAAAGTCAATCTCTAGTGGGGAAGAGAGTGAAATAGTCTCTCTCATAATCCCTAAGATGCAGTCCTATGCAGGACTACAATTCCCAGCAAGGCTGGCCGGGGCATGCCCAAGGCCATGGGCCTTTCTCCTGAGTAAACATGCACAGGATTGGCCCCTTATCAGCCTTTCCAATGTGGGCCACAGCCAGGGGCAGAGGGCTTTGCCACCCAACATCTTCCGGGGGGCCAAAAGTTTGGAAAATCTACCACAAGCCGCACTGGATATTTTCACAGAAACTGTTGTGGCATCATTGCGGGCTGGCAAGAAGGACGCTGTGGCTGCCCTGAAATCAATCACCGAGTCCATCCCGCTCTCTATAAAGTTTCTGGCCTGGCACCTTTGTCTGGCAAGCACACAACCCTCGTGCCGAGGCAGTTAGACAATAGCCTGGAGCAACTGCTTCGCAAACTCCCATTGGGAGCACATGGAATTGATCCGCTCCCACGGCTGGACAACCATAACCGGACATGTATTCTCACAGGAGTTTATTGAGATGCGAATTGCCAAGAAATTTACTCTCGAACATGGGAGACCGGCACCTTTGCTTGGTGTGTAGAAACATCCTACTCTACAGGGAATACTAAATGCTCCCGTCTCAATGATCTCACATGGCCAATTTGTGTTGCCTTGGGATAGTGATGAGATTTGACCATGGCCCTTTTTCCTTAAATACCTGTGAGTATTTAAGCCTCGGATGTAAGATCAAGCTCCTTGCATTTTAACGTTGTTCTTGTACCAATCGATTAATTCGTCACAAACTAAACTACTGATGCACCTGCAGAACATGCTGAAAATACAGGCAGCGTGTTGAAACACGGTGCAGATGGATAATTTGAGAATCACCAACCCAAAATTGGTTTACCTGCCATGCAGTTGACTCTGTCATTTTGTACTCCCAGTCCCAAAAGACAGAACACTGAATCAAGACCCTGGCAGCTCACCACTGCTTGGCTCACTGCCGAGTCACATTTTGTGCAAACTGATAACTGTAAAATAAATTTGTATGTAGTGGCAATGCAAAAGTTTAGAGCAAGGCCCACACCGTCTGGTGCAGCACTCTGTTTAGGTGACCAGTTTTCATGAAAGGTATTCAAGATCTGTCATTCATAAAATGATGGCCTATATGAATGTTCTAGGCATAATCTTTGGCTGTAAACAAACAAAAGCATGGTCTTTTAAGTTCTACAACTCTGCTTTTCCCATAACTACAGAAATGTCAGAGGCTGACTGGCGGAAGGCACTCAAAGCTACTGGGGAAGAGCGAGGGACAAGCACTGTTGCTAACGACACAGCTAGGTCAGCGCTGAAAGGAAGTTCCATGGCCAACATACACAGAGGCAGGAGGACATTTTGGACGGCTGGGTTGTTGTTCCATGTGAACAAGCCAAAGATGTTGCTGAAATGAAGTATGAAAAACCAGGATTGGTTTTGGTTTGAAGTACTCAAAGCAAATCCCTGGGCGTAGACCTCTTTAATCCTAAGTGTCTGCCTTTTGTACCAGCTTGAACCATCTCAGGGTTCTAATCATCATATTCATAAGCATCATTAGATCCTGTAAGCCTAACATCTAAAGGTCTTACCAACAATTCGTACTGCCTTCAGAATATGTCTTCCATTGTGATCTTAATGTATTCAGTACCAATCTGCTCTCAGATCAGGTGAGAAATGATACAAAATGAGTTGGGAGACTGGCTCCAGAATCAATTTACTCTAGACCAACCTGGAATTATTTTTTGACATTCAGATACTCTGGTTGATACTCTGCCAGGCAAGCTGCAATTGCATTGCATTAACCACCCACTGCCCCAACTATTTCTAAAAGGACTTCAGGGTAAACAAGGCAGTTACACCAAATAAGGGGAAAAAACTGGGAACCATGAGAAGTTATACAGACTTCGATGACAAAACAATGTTTACGGGTTCATTTGGGCCTTCTGCCTCTGCTGGAACTGGGTCAGGAACAGGCAACCCAAGAATATCCTTCGTGAAATGTGCAGCCGTAATTTCCTCTGGAATTTCTGCTTCAATAAAGGCATCTGCACCTGGATGGGGAGTTGGGGAGGGGGAGTCAAAGTCAATGATAGCAGAACTCAGTAGACTATGGGAACAACAATGCCTGGAATGGGGCCTCTGCAAAGGCACTAGTTGTCCTGACTGGAACAGGGATGTGCTGAGCAAAGCCACGCCTTCCCAGTCCAAGGCAGCCCGGGACCACCTGCTAGACGAGCGTGGAGGGGACGCACCACGTGTAGGAGGGCAGGCGGTGCCCATCAGCCGTCCCCACGCTGGCTGGATCCCGGGGCCCACGGAGGGGAAGGCACTTGCTAGCCATCCTGGTCCCGAGTTGGTCAGGGCCTTGGATGTCAACACCAAAACCTAGAGGTTGGCTCAGTTGCTGCAGTTCTTTCCAAGCGGGCGTCCTGCACGCCCAGGTAGGTGTTCCGCTGAGCATCCCCCAATTCTGCGCTTCCCTCGCCGGGCACAGAGGCGGCTCCATGCGGAGCAGGCTGTGCTGATTTGAGGAAGTCCGTACGTAAAAAGGGCAGGGGGGTCTGCCGGCAGCTTTGCCCCGAGTCGCAGGGCCCTCGGGGGGCGGGGGAGCACCACTCTGCGTTCAGCATGGGCCCCTGACCCCGGGGTGCATCTCCTTCCAGGGCTTGCGCACACTCGTGCTTCCCTGGCATTTGGGACTCTTGTCTCTGCGATCGGGCTCGCCCGCTTCGGCACACGGACCATCATGTCATCTCCAGAAAGACTTGGAGGAATCGGCTGGCCAGCCCTACCTTCCTTCTCCGTTCCCTCCCCACCTGCTCGTCACTTGCCCTGATGCTCTTTTCTGTGACACAATGCAGTGCGGGGGGGGGGGAGAGCGAGGGGGCGGTCCGCAGGCTCCCAAAAACCTGGACCAGTACAGCCACCGAGTACCTGTGGGGTCGTAAGCGCCAACCTCCAAGCGCCCTCCCTCGGGATTCAGGCCCAGCAGAGTGGTGAGGTGCTCCGCCAGCTCCTCTTCGGTGAAATGCTCTCCTGTTCCGAGGCAAGAGAAAACAGGCCATGTCCTACCTTTGCCGCTGCGGCACCAGGGCCAGCCGGGCGGCTGCGGGCCAGCGCTGCCCACCTCGGTGCTGCAGCAGCAGCAGCAGCTCCTCCCGGTCCAGGGCCAGCTCGTGGCTCTCGTTCTTGTAGCCCAACACCCGGAAGGCATTTTGGATCTCTCTCGCGGCCAGCCCAAACGCTGGGCGATGATTGACGTACAGTTTGATGAAGTCGCCTAAATTGATGTGGGTCACTTGCTTTCCGGTGTCCAGATATTCGCTGAACTTGACCTCGTTTAACATGTCTTCTATCTGAAAGGAATGAAACTGTACTGTCAGGAGCGGAGCTGCTGGGGCCGCTGGAAAGGGCTGACAACCTGCCCTGGTTCTCTGAAGGCAACGGTCCCGTCCGTGCGGCACAGGAGCCGCTGGGCTACCCAACCCCTGGGCTCTCGAGGATGGGCTGCCAAGGGCAGGCTGGTGGCCTTTTCCTTCCACTTCTGCTCAGCAACAGGCCATGGGTGACCCGATGGGCCGCTCGCTGCTGAACAAGCCCGTGATCCAGACTCAGACGACATGCTAAGCAACCTGTGCAGGAGCCGGTCCCAGGTTGGCCAGAAAAGCGGAAGTGGCAGGTGTGGTGCAGGCAGCAGGTTTGTGCTCTCCTGCTCGTACCTGATAGCTTTGCCCCTGCGTGTCTGGCCAGGGAGTGCGTGGTGTGCCCACCACCCGTTCGCATCGTCTCCCTTGGGGTCCACCGAGGGACCACCGCCCCAAGGGGGAGCATAAAGCACGTGAAGGAGGCTGCTTTCTTTGTTCGCGGGCTTGTCACCCGTTTGGAGGGAAGGATGAGCAAACAGGCAGCAAGCAAAAGCTGCAGCAACGCCAGGAGCATCTTGGGAGGGGCCCCTGCAGGCATGCAGACCTTAGCAGGTGCCCAGCAATACCTGCTCTTGATGCTGGCCCCAGAAGCGTCCTCGCCCGGAAGTGTGATCTTTAGAAACGCAGGGGAGGATGCTAAAAGATGAACTGCGACTCGAGCAAGTTGCTCTGGCACAGTGTGGAAAGGGTACCTCTCCCCCTCCCACCCAAAGCAAGGCAAATGTCAGTACGGGGCAGCGAGGGTACTTCCTGCCCAGGAACGAGGGAGAAGCGTGGTCGGAGAGCATAACCCAGGGGACCAGGGCTCTTTGCGGCTCCCACTACAGTCTGAAAGATTCAGAGGGTGCTTTTTGTGGGGAGCGGGGAGGTCTGCCTCCCAAAAGCATTTTCCAGGGACGTGACAGAAGGAAAGAGACGGCCGTAAACATCAGAAAGGGGGAAATGAATGGTGGTCTTTGCATGCCTTCCGGCTGCTTTGTGAAAGTGGGGCAGCTGCGGCACTGATCTCATTGTGTCTCCCTGCTTCTGCTCAGTGGAGGGAACTGGGCCATGAATCTGCCCTGCCACACTGCAGTGAGCAGGGGAACTGGGCGCCGTGTCCGGTCACCCTTGAAGAACTTTTTTCGGCGCTTCTGCTGCTCTCTCTCTCTCACACACACACACACGCATTGCAAAAGGAGGAAACTGCATTAGCTCAGTCATCGCTAGCGCTTCCTGCGATTCGGAAAGACAAGGCCAAATTCTGCTGGGAGGGGTAGTCTCACCCCACACCCTCGACCGCTCTGCCCCTCCCTCTCACACACCACACGGTCACCTCTGCTACCGGGACCTCAGGTGTGGAAACACGGGAGAAAACCAGCGAGCGAGCAAGCTTTCTTCGGGTCTCCCTGGAGACGCCTCCTTTCAAATGCGGGGCTGCCTGTGTGAGTCTTGCTGGCGTTTTAAAGTTTCATGAGCCAAACGGCACAGTGCATCACCCACCCTTTTTGAAAAGCGTGCTGAAGCCGGCCACGTTTATTCTGAGGAAAAAGCAGAGGCAAATCGCTCGGCCAAGGCAGTGTTTATCTAAGGAATTTCAACCCCCTTTCGGGGCAGGCTGCCCTCACGGGGCCCTCTGTGCCACTTTCCTGCCAGGAATCATCCCCCTTCCCTTGCTATTCGCAGTAAACAGCATTGCCGGTGGCAAAGAGCTGGCACCGTGCTGGTGGTAAAGGATCTGGGGCAGAAAACTGGCACGGGGACCTCACCCGGAGAGTGTTCTGACGAGGGCCGTGCCGCTACATTTCCTTCAAAGCAAAACAGGTAACCGTTGCTGTGCATCGCTTGGTGCCTGCAACATGCGCGACGGCAGCTTGCGGCGTTCGTGCCCTTCGGCCATCCGGGTTGACCAGTGGCAGCACTAGGGCAGGTCCCACCAGGGAAGGAGGCCTGGATCTTTCCCTTGGAGCCCCAGACCCCCGGGGGGCCACCTGCTCAACACTCCATCCTGCATCTATGGATTGCTGGAACAAAGGCATGATGCTCGCCAATCGAACCCCCCCAAATTATCTGGCTCCTAGCCCACATGTGCGCCACCTCCTGCTACAACCCCCCCCCAGCTTTTTTCTGAAATCAAATGGCCTCTCTCCTGCCTATTTGTCTGTTTCTTTACATACTGTGGTTTCCTTCAGAGACAGGGCTCTTTAAAGATGCACACAGAGAGGCTTTAAAGAATGTATAAAAGGACATCGACAGAAAGGGAGAAAGACAAATCTGTAGAATTTGGTTCAAGCTGTAAAGTTTCCCCAACGAAACTGACCTGCTCTTCCGAGGGGTAAAACCCCATTGCCTGCATGACAAAGGGCACTTGTTCCAAGGGGATGTGTGTGGACACCTTCCGGGGCTCCATGGTGTCAATGCCTTGGTGACACAGCTGGGCATAGTAAAAATAGTCTTCTAGCTCCTGGAAGGACAGTCAGCAGACAGAAAAGGGGCCTTGAGTTCTGGAGCACGGAACACGAAAGAGCGAGCAAACTGGACCGTTGCACAAATGGAAGGCCCGATCTGGGAGAAAAATCCGTCGACTCGCAGAATTCCCCAGCCAAGCTGAATGGGAAATGCTGGGAGTTGTAGGGGGGTTTTTAACCTTCCTAAAACTGCCTAGGATTGTCCCTTGTTCTGGGATAAGTTCTCCTGGACTCGCCCTGCTGCTTCGTGGCACGGCGTGTTAGCCTCCACCTGGCAGCAAGCCTACCCACACATGGCGGGCGGGCGCACAGAGAGAGCTGGAAAGCGAGGACAGACGGACAGACAGCAAGGGCGGCTTCAGGGCACAGAACAGAGCCCTGCAGGGTCCTGCAGCTCTGGCAACGGCAGCCGATGCACAATGTGCTGGTGTCCCGTTTACGAAATGCCGTGCCAGAAGCGGTAGCCGGGCGTGAAGGCTTAAGGACATTTTTAATTATTGCCTGGACATTTCCTGTTTTTATATATTTGTATTGTTATTTATTTGTTGGAAGCCGCCCGGAGGCTTATGCGAATGGGGCGGCATACAAGAATCCCAAATAAATAAATAATAAATAAATAAAATTTTGCGGCACAGCAAGCTGCATTCCGAATGTAGGCTTGGACAGGGCTGGCGAGAGGACCTGGTGGTTCCTCATGCAGGGGGCCGCTCTGAGACCGTTTCACCTGGATGAGGTGGACGTCTCGCATCCTCTCCTGCTGCTCCTGGCCCTCGGGAGGCATCCAGCACTGACAGCCACGGCAGAACACAAGTCGCTCACCGGGCCGCCTGCAGGGAGCATACCGCTCCAGCGTCCGGGTCAAGCCAGCCCAAGGGCGGTCCAGAACACTTCGGAAAACAGGCCTCCCTCCTTGTTTCCCAGGTCAAGGCAAAGTCTAGCGTTTCACCTTTAAAGGACTCCAGAGTCCAGGCCACACCAGAGCATCTAAAGGGCTTCCTCCCGCGTGAATCAGATGTTTTTCAGAGCCCCTCTCTGGCAACCAGAGAGGACCTTCTCTGTGGTGGCACCCCAAATTCTTGCTGGACAGCTTCATCGAGCGCCATCTCTGGGTTATTTATTTATATTTATACCCCCCTGCTTTTCCCTTCAAGGAACCTGAGGCAGCTTGCACACGCCTGCCCCTCCTCTCAACCTTATCTTCACAACAACCCTGTGAGGTAGATGAGGCTAAGAGGCTGGGACCAGCCCAACGCCACCCAGGGAGCTTCACTTCTCAGGCAAGGCGAGGTCTAAGGTCGCACCTGTTCCCCTGCTTTTAAACTGTGCCCCTGCTCTTTTGTTATTTTTAGCTGCTGCTTTTAATCGGATCTTTTTATCCCGGTGTTTTATCATTCTTGGGAGATTATTTTATTGCTTTGATGACCTGTAAGCCGTCTTGGGGGCATTCGCACTGAAAGGCAGGCCAGAAAGAATCAAAATAAGTAAGCAACACAATCTTGGAATACCCTGAAGAACTCGCCCGTCCTGCCACCTTCCAGAAGATTGTAGAATGGGGTCAAATCTTCACCACCCAGAAAGACAGCGGCTTCCAGAGCGCTGGGGAAGGAACGGCACGTTCAGCTCTCCTGGAAAGAGGAGGATGCCCTTTCCCACCCTGCCAACAGCTCTTCTAAAAGTTAAATTTAATCTGAGCATCAAGAGGTGCGATTCAAGAGAAGGAGCCCAAATGCTGTACTAAGTCTCTCCAGCTGCAGCGCTTTAGCATCTGGTAGAAGCCCTTTTACCCAGGCACAAGGTGGCAAACCTTGGAAGATCGAGAGCTTGTCACGATGGTTCCCACGGCCCCACCCCCGAGGAGCATCCCAAAATTCAGGCAGATCTCATCACCAAATCAGTTCTAGCATTTTCCATGCCCATCAGGAGCAGATCTCCAGTTAAACGAATGTATTGTCATTGCTCATTTATTCAACTACCCTGAATACTTTGCATTACGACCAGGAGCTATATTTAATTATTGGGAAAAGTCATCCCGCTCCGACTGAACTGTCTCTTGCTCTCCGAGGAGGGGGACTGTCAGGGGCTGCCCTTTCGTGCTGGGCCAAGCGGGCCTCTCCTTGCCCACGTGGGCCTTGTGTCCTCGTCCTGGGAGGTTTCTGCAGGCTCCTTGCAGATGCTCAGTCCAGGGAATGGAGGGGCCTTTTCTGCGGCGTCTAAAGACGGCTGCCTTTTTAAAAAGCCACAGGTAAACGCCGCCACCGCGGCGGCAGCAGCACCTTGAGTATCTCTCCTCACTTCACACGCAAAACAGAGCAGAAGGTGCAGCCGGCACAATTCCATCCAGAACAAGACCGGGCCTCGCACAATCCAAACTCCCGAGGCTTTTATCTATAATTAAGTTACGCTCGGACATTAAATATTCTGGAGGCATGGGAGATGCCAGAGGCAGCAGAAAAGCGCTAATTAGCTCATAAAACGCCTTCCCCCATAAACAAATTACAGAGGCATTCAGCAGTGCCTGGGCCCCAGCCAGTAATGATAAAACGGGAACATTTATATTCTACCGTCTTCGTTTAATTTTTGCTCAGGCCGAGCCTCCAACGGAGAAAGGCTCACATCCTGGGCATGTTTAGGCAAAAACGGGACTACAGTGCCACACATATCCCAGCCAGCTCAGCACGGCGTGGGGCTTTAAGCCACACTGTGGGGTGGGGGGAGCCCTACTGAAGCCCACCGGAGGGCCCGGCCAGTCAATGACGAAGCAGAACCTCCGGGACTGGGCTGCAGCTGGCTGGTCAAGCCCTCTCCTCACCCCTGGCAGGACTCGGTCCCACAGTGCCGTTTTCCCGGCCCCCACAAGGCCACCAAGGTGGCTTCTCCTAAGGTGCCCAGGGAGCGGTCCTTTCTGCGAGCACAAGGCCGCCGCCATCTTGGAACTCAGCCTGGCCGGCAACCCTCTTCCCGGCATGCAAAAGAGGAGGAGACGCTGCCAGTTTGGACTCACTCTAAATTGACGTCCCATTTCATCACGGTCAGGTCCTCGCCGCCCGCCGTGAAGAGGTGGCGCCCGTCGTAGGAGCAGGCGAGGTTGGAGACACCTGCTGGGTGGCAAATGAAAGCCGAGGACTTGTGCGGGTTCCCGTCAACGGGCAAGATCTGGAGGCCAACCTAGGGAGAAGCGCAGAGCACGTGACGCCGGGGTCTCTGCGCAGCATGCCAGGCGACCTGGGTGCCTGCCTGGGAGCTGGGCTGCGGCGCCCTCAGGGCCCCAGGCTGCTCTGAGCTCTTCTCCCGTCCCAGTTCCAAAGGCTCCCCAATTTTCTGGGTGGGTCAAGCACAGAACCGCCTGCCTGCCCGAAGTTGAGACGGGAATCGGTTACTGAAGGCACCCGGGGAACCGTGACCTGCCTTATCTTTCGTGATGTAGGCCAAATACCGACTCTGCAGATCATCCTCCTCCGTGGCTGGCAGAACCAGGATCTTCTCGAGGGGAGAGCCGTAGGTTGGTCCCAGAACAGTCTTCCTGCCATAAAATCATCAAGAAGAGCAACACCTGCTATTTCTATTACTGTTTTCGTTTCCACACCACGCAATAGCCAAAGCGCTCTGGTGGTTCCACACAATTCACACACACGGGTACAATAATAAAATAGAGGACCACGAGGGTAGAAATAGGTGACGAGCACTCAGTCACCTGGCTCTTAACTGCTTCACCCACAGGTGGCCCCCAAGGGCTGGGGGAAGATCGTGGGTCCTCTACTGGTCAGTTCTGGTAGACAAAGATTGTGCACCACCTGCAGTAGCTCCCCGGTTCTCTCGGGAGCCGTCCTTGCCAGACATTCACGTCTCCAAACCCGTTTTTCTGGAGTCGACCCGGATTACTCAATCAACCAAATTAAACAAAACAAAAACCCCCAAAAGGGTGGTGAAGGGTGGTGGGACCCTCACCGGCAACAGAAATGTGAAGCCTGAGCCGTTGAGGGAGAGGGTGGGCACATCCAGGTTTAGCTCACCCGTTCCAGACCTGGTGATCCCCGGATCTCCCAGCATCCCCGAGACAGCTGGGGCCGATGGGAGTCAAAGTCCAAAACGCTGGACAAGCATCATGTTGGGGAAGGCTGGTCTTCTGGGGGCCGAGCCGGAAGGGCCCAGCTCTGGGTTCCCCACGGAAGCTTTGGTCAGATGGGAAGTCAGACGCGGGGGCGGCATTTGCCCATCCTGGGCTGAAAACGCAGCGAGGCACAGGAAGGACCTGCTGCCTTGGCCAGAAGGCGCCTTCTGGAGCTCAGGAGGAGGGGAACGCAATGCCGCCGGGGCTTCACAGGGCTGGGAAGGCGAGCCTGAGCCCGGGGGAGCCCACTGACCACAGCGGTCCATGGCAGCACAGGGATGCGCCAGGATTTTGCCTCTGTTTGCAAATCGAGCAGTGGTGGTCTCCTTCTCCAGAACAACCGTGAGCCGAAGCACTTTGAGAAATGTTTCATCATAGGAAATGCAAGGGGCTTTTTTGAAAAGGTGTGCTTTGAAATGTGCAGTTTTAATGAACGGGGTGTTTTCATGCTTTAGTGAACGGGAGGAAACGCTCCAGCACACACACTTTCCCTGCTTCAAACGCTTAGTCTGCTTGCTCCAGTGAGCAGAACAGGAGTGAGCCAAAGTGAGCCTCGGGATAAATTTGGGAGAGCTCAAAATGGCTGGTTCAAGGCTGCGAGGGCTCGCGTCGTCTTGGACCGTGGGTGCCGGGGACTGGCGTTCCTGAAACACACACAGCTCCTGACGAGGGGAGTGGACCGGGTGAATTCCAGAACAGAACGTGCCCGCTGAAGAAAACAAGCCAGACCGTTCCCAGGGTACCTGCACAAATTTGTAGTCACGTTATAAAGCTTCATTTTGTAGTGATCGTTGGCCGTGAGGAAAAAATACTCCTTCGTGAGAGGCGGGTACCAGGCGATGCACTTGGGGATGGCGCTCTGCTCGATGCGGTCCCTCCGGAGCACCACCAGCTCGTCTTGGACGCTGTGGGGCAGGTCGTACTCCACCTGGAGACAAAGGGGTGCCGAGTCGGTCCCACGTGGCTAGTTCCCCCAGGTGCTCCTTCGCTTGGTGTCTCTGCCGCGGGAGGGGCCTCACGTGCCCCCCCCCCACTGAGCCCCGGCGGGCTCAAGCCCCTCACCGGGAGCTCCTCCTCTGCAGCAGGACAGGCCGCTCTCTCGGGGGCGATTTTGGGAGTCGCAGTCCCACACAGCTGGGCGAAGAGGGGGGGCAAGGCTGCCCCGGACAGGAAGCACAGCGGCAGAGCCTCAGGCGGGAGTCCAGTTGAGCCCCCCAGAGCGCCTTCAAACGCCATGCCAGGCCCTGCCCTCTGGCCTCAGTCCCCTTCCCAGGGTGGCTTCCCGACAGCGCTGCAGTCCTTGCCCCCACGGACTGCCTCTCCGGAGGCTCTGCTCCCGGCAGGAAGGCGCTTGCAGCAAAAACCCGCTCGCCCCTTCGGAGGTCGGGCCCTCGGCTCCGGTCCCAGTTGGGCTGAGCCACGTTTCCTGCCCGCAGAAAGGGCTCACAGGTGCTCGGGCGGCTCTGCCCACCTGGGCTTTGGCCGCCTCCCTGTGCAGGCTGCTGGGGCTTCCGAGCAGCGGCGACGGACACCTCCTTGCCCCGTCCCGGCTCCCCCGCTGCCCCGTTCTGTTCTCTGGCCTGACGCCCAGCCCCTGGCCCCTGCTGGCCCAGGGCCGGCTCCAGCACTTCTCCAGACCAGTGCCCACGTCGCCTGGTAACCAGAGCGCACTGGATCGTGGTGGGACCTACCAGGAGCCGGTCTTCGCCGAGACTTAAGAGCCGGGGCTCGTTGCTGTCCAGATGAACCCCAAAAAGGATGGTGCGGATCGGCTTGCAGTGAGCGTGCAGAGCTGCCAGGCGCTCCCAGACTTTCTCCTCACCTGCAGCGACTCTTTTGAAAAGGGTCACCGAAACGTTTTCATCCTGGAAAGCGACACCAATATAAGCAGAGGGAGCGCTGGGGTTTCATCTGTGCATTTTTGCCTTCCCACGTGCGGGAGTGGTAGCGCTCTGCACCAGGACGATGGGAGTGTGCACCAGGACGATGGGAGTGGGCAGAGCTCTGTAGCGGAGCTACTGCTTGGCCTGAAGGAGGTCCTGGGTTCCGTCCCGGAGAACACGGCAGACTCCTGCCCGGGGCCTGAAGGCTGCGGTTGCCGGTCAGCGCTGCCAGTGCTGGGTCAATGGGCCAGGGGCTCAAGAGCAAGAAGCGGCAACTTCCGCACGGTACGGAGTTGGGCTGCGGGGAAGGGAGGGGAGGGACTCACTGCACTGGCGAGGTACTGGGAGTCGTGGGAGAAGCTAAGGAGCGTGACAGCACCGCTTGAGCCCTGGAAGGGCTCTGGGCAGTCGTCTTCCAGAGAGACAGAATCGAGGATGCAGACGCTCCCGTCGCCGAAGCCGGCTGCCAGCAAGGATCCTAGAAGGCACGTGGGAGAACCGTTCTCTCTGCAGGGCCGGATTTCCAGCCACGCTGCCACGTCGAGTTGCAAGCAGAAGCAGAAGCAGAAGCGTGCTTCCACGTGGCGCCACGCCAGCCACGCGTGTTCCCATAGGAAAGAGCCTTCAAGTGGCCACTGAAAAGCAATTCCTGCCCAGCAGCTTTCCAAGTGAAGCCTTCCTTGTGGCTCCGCCTCTAACTAGGCCTGCTGGTTTTGGAGCCGTGTCTGTCTGGGACCCAGAATCAAATCAGGGCTCTTGCCCAGGTGCGTTTGTCCTTCCCTAAGCGCCTGGACAAGGACCACGGCAATGCACAGCTCAGGGGCCATTTCCTTGGCGTGGTTCTCAGGGAGGCTTCAACGGGGCCAGAAGCCCTGATGAAGCCCAGACAGCTCCAAAACCAGCAGGCCCGGGCAATTGCTCTTGCGCCCATATGCAGCTCGCTCGGCTTCTTGTAATTAACTGTGGCAAAGCTGTGATGAGAATTCAGCACTCTGCACATCCAAGCAGGAATCAGAACCTCTGTCACAGCTCCAGGGCTGTGCTCAGCTCTGAGAAAGGGGCTGGGGCTGAAGCCGGCTGAGGTCAGGTGAAACATACCCAAAGCAATGGCGTATTCCGAGCTGAAGCTCTTACACACCCAGCCACAAAGCCTTGGAATGGAGGATAACCGCACAAAAGCCAGGAAACCGCTGAACGACTGACGATCGGGGAAAGAGTGTGGCGCTCCAGGGGTCGCAAGCGGGATGGATTTGCCCCTCGGCGTCCCACCCCTGCCGTCACAGATCCGGGCCCCGCAGAAAGCAACCATTACCCAAACTGAACCCCGCGAAGGGATGATGGATTGTACCGTCGTGGTTGTAACAGAGGCTCCGGAGACACGCTCCCTTGAAGATGCGGCTGACAAGGTATCTGTTGAGCTGGTGGTTCCAGACTTTGAGGAGGCCGCAGTGGCTCCCTTTGGCCACGAGGGGCTTGCTCGGGTGGCAGGCGAGGGCGTGCACGGCCTCCTTGGGCTCCTCCAGGCACTTGCTGATCTTCATCCCCTCCGGCCTGACGTGAACCACCACAGCATCGGTCGTGGCGAGCACAAAATTCCTGCGCCGTGGAAGAGAGACGGGGCAGCTCAAGGCATGTTTTGCCTAGCTCCTTGGCCCAAACAAACATGCTCAGGGATTCTGCTGCATTTTAGTGATCCACACACACACGCAAATACATGTCCAGAGGGATTCAGCGGCACCCGCACAAGGCGGCATTCTTGTCTCCGTGTGGCCGAGTGGGAGAGGTGAGGCCGGCTGAAGCTCAGCTTTGACTTTTCCACCGGAGGCCAAGGTGTTTCCGGGGGCAGCTCCAGGGAATCTGCACTGCTCACACACCCCACCTGCCGAACACGCACCTCTGCCGTTTTAAAAAGGTTCAAGAGTTGCAGCGACGCCTCCGTGAGCCGGAGGTTCCGCTCAGCGCTCACCTGACAATGAAGGGGTGGCCAGTCAAGGTGCAGGAAGTGGGATACTTGGTGATGTCCGTGGGACATGCCGGCTTCTTGGAGAAGGAGATGGACTGGATGGGCCCCAGTTTGAACTGGCTGTACCAGTGCAGGAGCTGCAAGTCTCCGTCGTAGAACTTCACGTGGCCTTTGACATCGCAAGTCACAAAATTGCTGGAAAGAAGTATCATTGGTCCTGAAAAATCTGGCATATCGCAAAGTCCAAAAGCAAGGAGCATCCGTTTTCGAAGTGGGGGGGGGGCGTTGGGGCTGCCTTGCAGAAACTCCCGGTCAGAATCTTGTGTGGCGTCTGCCGAGGCACACGCTCCACGGCACCCGAGTGGGTGGAGCAGCCCCACCTGTGGGCTTCCCATGACCTGGCCAAGCCGGGCTCCTCCTATGTTGCCATCGATGGAGCCCTTGGGCAGAAAGCGCCCAGAGCCGCCAGGGCTCTGCGGGGAGAGCGACTGTGCTGCGGGCAGGGCCCCCGGTGCGAAGCAGCATCTCCAGGCCAGACCACAAAAGATCCCATCTGAAACCCCAGACAGCCTGTTCCTGAGTCCGCAGGGCAGCCGGGGAAAGGGTTCGGCTCCGTCTCGGGAGCTCCTGTACGACTGGGACGGGGCACCGAAGGGAAAAGCCCTCTTGAGCATCCGGCCGACTGAATAAGCATTCAGGACCGGGCTCCTCTCCACGTGGGACTAGCAACCCCCTGCCCGGAACACCGGTGAGCCACTGCAGCCAGTGGAAGTTGGGGGCACAGGCTAGAAGAACCGGGGGCCCCTCACTCCGTCCAAGCAGCCGCCCAGAGGCCAGTCACCCTGGCCTACCTCACAGGGCTCCCGGAAGGCCTGCTACTCACTGGTCCGTGACGGCAAGGACGGTGATCCCATCTTTCTGCAAGTGCATGACCTTGACGGCTTTCATGTTGTGTGGTTTCGTGCATGCGGTCCTCTTCTTGGAGGGGGAGCAAACGGCATCCCAGACCACCACCTTCCCATCCAGCGTGCCGGTGATCGCTTGCGTGGAGCTGAAGTGAAACAGGGACTGGCTGAAGAGTCCCACAGCCTTGTTGAATGTCTGCAGGAAGGAAGGAAGGACAGAAGGACGGACGGACAGATGGACAAGGGGAAGAAACCACGACGTTCTCTTTTAGGGTTTTGTGAACTGACCAGACAGGAGCAGAAAAGGGCAGAACTATAAACAATGAAGGACTAAGGGTTGACTCTAATGTCCAGTCGGCATGTAGGCACAGAGATTGGGGGACTCCAACTGCATTTTCTCTCTCTTTATCACTTCCCCGTTTGCATTTCTTTTTAAGGAACTGACAAGCTTCTTATTGTCCTCCATATTTCCAACCTCCTACTTCACACTTTTTCTCCTTGCTGCATAACACACGTCCAGCAGCTGCATATTCGGATAAACTCGGAGCACAATCACACAAATGTCGCACTCCACCTGCCTGGCATCACCTGGACCAAGCAGCAGATGGTGGAAGTAAAGTCCCCATTCTCAGGCCCCGCACACTCTGGCCAGGCTGGCCGAAAGGACCAGGATATGAGGCAAGCGCACGGCCAAGCCACAATTCCAGGCAGCGGCCGTGGGGAAGCTCAACAGCTGCCTCGGTCTGCACAGAGGTATTTTAGAAACCCACGTCATGGTTTCGGCTGCAGCAAGATGGAATGGTGTGCTCCGGAATTGTACACCCAGCGTGGGAGGGCGATCATCTCCCAAGTCCGGAGAACTTCTGTGGGTGCAGACTCACCTTCTCTGTCAGGAGGGGAGCGTGGTAGCTCAAGGTGCTGCAGTCCTAAGGGAAAACAGGAGAAACAAAGAAACATAACATAGGAACACAGAAACAGAGCGAGTCAGAAGGGGCCTCCCAGGCCATCTAGTCTGATCTCCGGCACCAGCCATGTCAAGACGTGTCAAGCAGGGCAGTGCGCAGTGCCAGGAAGGCCTGGGGCTCCAGCGCACGGGGCCAATCGCATGCCAAGGCAGGGGGACCCCAAAAATGGCGTGCTGGTTCTTTCAGGGGCCTCCCTGCGAAAGGGGACGCACGCACCCACCTGGAGAGCAGGGCAGTGGGCGTCAGAGGCAGAGCGATTCTGGGGGAGGCGGCACCTGGGCCAGGCCCAGGCGCTCGGGGGGCTCAGGTGCCACCAAGACCCTCTGGGCCCCTGAACCTTTGCCTGCGCCACGTCAACCGGTCCCAGTCCAGTTGCGGAACAAGCGGTGGCCTTCACATCCTTGACGCAGGCATCGCTGCTGGATGAAGACCAGACGCCTGGTGCCGCCAGGAGCCTTCCGTTCCCACCTACCCACAGGTAGAAGATGACCTGGGTGGTGCTGTTGCTGAGCAGCTCCCTGTGGTCTCGGGGGTTAAACGCGATGTAGCCCTGCAGGAGGGAAAGGCCGCATGGCAAGTCGCTCCCGCCGCGTCCAACACGTGTCGACCCAGAGGGAGTCCCTCTGAGCCATCTGGGGCTTGCTCCCTGCTAGCGGCCTATGGGATGGTGGCCAAAGCAGGATCCGGCCGGCAGGCACCCCTTCTTGCGCAGGCGCCCAGCGCCAGAGGGCGCTTCCTCGGCGTCAGGAGCGCACAGTGTGCTCCCCACCCGGGGGTCCAGTGCCTGCGAAGAGGGGCGGGTGCCAGGCAGTCTGCTGAGAGGCTTGCCCAGGACTTCGCATCACGCGGCCCATTCGGTGGCCCGGGCTTCACCCAGCCTGATCCGCCTCACGGGACGCTTTGACGGCGTGGGGGGTTCTCCCGTTTCCCGTGGCCTGAGGTGGCACCCTCTTTCTGATGCTGAAGCCCTGAGGACTAGAAGCCTGACTTCTCCTCCTTCCTCTTATCTGTCCTAAATTTCCCAAATCTCCGCAGCACCTCTCGTCTCTCAACTGCGGAGAGAAGGACAGCATGCGGCGCTTGCGCAGCCAGCGCACCTCGGAAGCACCCCGACTTTGCTCAGAGCGCCCCTGCGCAGCCTTTCCCAACGGGCAACCCGTGCGTTTCTTCCTCCCCACGCAGCACGCGGACGGGCAAGGCGCCTCACCTGGAAGCCAAACTGCGGCAGGATCTCCACGCTGCAGACGGGGCTCGTCTCAGCTGAGGTCCACCTCCAAATGCAGACTTTCTGATGTAAAGGAGAAAACTCTTTAAGGTGGAGAAGCCACAGGCCCTCCGAGCCTATGAGCGCTTCTGCGTGCCCCACTTCCTCGGCCAGGCCTGCCCCAAAATGCGCCCACCCTTCAGCTCCGGCCTGAGGCAGCCCGGCTCCTCCGGTGGCCAGGCGCTCGCGTTCCGAGCAGGCTCCTTTAGGTGTACCAGCTGGGCTTCTGCCCAGGGCTTTTCACCCCCCACTAGACAAGGCTTCCGAATCTGGGGTCTTTGTGGGATTAAGGCAGACTCCTTCACACGTGCTTTTTCCGGGGGGTTTCTTTCCTATGCCTTGCTCTACGTTTCCTTACACCATCACTTGGTGGGGTTGTGGAAAGGGCACAGACACCAGCGTCTCATTTGACTGCTTCAAAATAATGCCGCACTTCCCTCCATCTGAAGGGAGGACGGAAATAGTTACAAAGAGCAGGGAGGGCCCGGAAAGCTCCTCCAGGCTGCACTGCGTGAGGAATCCAAGGGTGCCAAGCTACCTCATGTGGGAAAGCCGCATCCTGTGCTTCCGCAGCCCTGCTCCAGCCTTCCCAGTCTGGAGACCGCCAGAAAAAGGAGGCGCCCTAATCCTGGGGTGATTCCGTAGCTCATTATGAAGGAAAATGCAAAACCCTTTGCACCTCCTAGTCTCACGAGCATCCATGCTGCAGACCCTGTTCCTCCTCCCCATTGTGAGGAAGACGCACTTCGGGGCAACCGGCACAGCAAACGCAACCTCTACCTGCACTTCTCCGGCCCCGACGGTAGCCAGAAACTTGGCATCGTGGGAAATGGCGATAGCGGCAATGCCTCCCTCCGGGTGGCTGTCAAAGATCGTGTGCACAGGAACCCTGACAGAAAGACAGCTGTGAGCATTACCCCGCACTGCTGGGTCCCTGCAGAAGCAACTCGCGGGGGGCTGGCCCCGATGGTGCCAAGTCAGCCCAGCCAAGGGAGGACGGCCCGGCCCGGGGAGCTCTGCAGGGCTGACGCAAGCCGCCGGGGCTAAAAGCAGCGCTGGGACCCAGGGCGCCTCCCTGTGGCAAGACATGTGCATTGCAGGCTGAACATTTTCACCCGTGCTGTGCAAGGGCCACCGGGACTGATCCCTTGATCCCCCCACAGGAAGCCCGAGAGAGAGCTGCCTTCCGGACAAGGTGCCTGCCTGGGTGGGGATCGTGTGCCCCCATACACCTGGCCCGCCAGCTGCTTCTGACTCGAAGCAGAACAAGAGCTGGCGGAGACGGAAGTTTGCCTCGAGTGCGTTCCTTGGCAGAATCTCCACGTAATTAGTATAACAGACCAGATAGGCAGATATCCATACAGCAAGGAAAGGCTCTAAAGCAGACGTCAGCTGGACTTCAGCTCCCAGAAGTCCCTGCCGGCATGGCCAACGGTCAGGACTGCTGGGAAGGGAAGTCCAAGCACCTGGAGATCAGCCTTCTGCCCACCCTGCGCCTGAAGACGTTGCAGCGTGAGAACGTCGGAGGAGCGTTGCTGGATCTTGCTGGGCCGCAGCTCCATCATCCCTAGCAGTGGCTGGAGCTGATGGGAGCTGGAGTGCCGCCCCACCTTGGGAGTCCACAGCTGTCGTCTGCTCCAGTCCATGGTCAGTCAGCCTGCCAGGCGCTCAAGGGGAGCAGGGCTCCAGCCCCCTTCCCCGGTTGCCTGCCCAGGCCTGGCGGTCAGCGGGACCCCAGCCAGGCGGGCAGCAGCTTTCTTGAGCCGCCGTGGCTCCTGGAGAAGGACAGTGGCCCACCCCACGGGTCGGCCTCTCCTCGCGTGGGCCTTGCCCAGGGGAGAAGAAAGCAAAGCCACGCTGCCACGTACGCCGTGTAGCTGTCCCAAACGATCACCAAGCTCTCGCGACCCCGGTCAGCCGTGGCGATCCACCTCCGGTCGTCGCTCATGCAGATGCACGAGATGCAGCTCGTGTGTCCCTGGGGAGGCAGAAGAACCTGCCAGGGCCGCCCCAGGCGTGGCGAGGCGGCGGCGGGCGGCTCTGCCCTGCAGGCCTGCGAACGCCCGCCGTTTTAAATGGCGGTTTACTTTTTTGTTTGCAACACAAATTGGGGTGGGGGGCACACACATCTTGGCTACAGGCCCAGTGAGCGACGAGTGTGGAGTTGTTGCCCCACAGAGAAACCTCCCACCGGGCTGCACGCATCGTCACGAAGGAGCCCTCCTCCCTCCACAGCGTGGAGGGGCACACACGGCCCTGCAGGTAGAGGGACAGCACATTCCTGGCCTTTGGCTCTGCCAGCTGTGGCTGATGGGAGTTGCAGCCCGGCTGTGCATGGAGGCGACATGTTCCCCAGCCTTGCTTTGCGGGGTGGCCCTGCGCTGCCTGCTTGGAGCACCACTCTGGCTGCCCTGAGACTGAGCGGAGCGCTCACGAGCCCCTTGAGGGAAGTCGGCCTTACCTGCAGCAGGTACTGCCTGCACCTGGGCACGTCATGGATTACAGCCGTGTGAGCCGAGACGTACAGAATCACTCGGAGGTCCTCATCCAGCAGGTTGAAAACAGGCAGCTTGTTGTTGTAGCCAAAGACCCAGGACAAACTCTGTGAGACGAGAAGGCTCTAATTTCAGGGCCGCTTGACATTTCAGCAAACACGGCACAAGAGAAACGCCACATGGCGCCACAAGGGAAGGCCTGTGAACTCCAGGGGCTTATGAGTGAGTGAGGAGACAAGAGCAGAGCCACGGTGTGCTCTCTTCCCCCCTAGTCTTGGGAGGGGGGCAGGTACAATAGACTGGGGGGAAACTGATCTGCCTAACGCTCTGGCTTCTCAGTTTTCATCACCTTCAAGCTGCACTGAAGTCAGCAACCTGCACAAGTTCCCTTCTCTTGCACAGTATTTGTGCAAATTCTCACAACCCATGCAAGCTGGGGTGAGGAGGGTTATAGGGCTTCCCTACTCAAAGTGCTGGTGGTGCCCCGTGAATCCCCACTCACAGGAGCTTGTGGGAACATGACCTGGCAGTGTTGCTCTGCAGGTTTTGCAGCCACCTCTGGCTTTTTTAGAGCAAGGAAAGGAACATATTTTCCTGATCTTGCGATTAAATTGCTGCGAGAGGCCCGTGTATTCTGCTGTACTATCTTGCCATTGTGTGATCCTTGTGCCTTCCAGACACGTTTGGACTGCAAACACCCAGAATTCCCAGTCAGTGGCCCTGCTGGATGGGAATGCTGGGAGTCGCAGTCCAAATGCCTCTGAAGGTCAGCAGGTCGGAGAAGGTTGGTGTAACGGAATATACAGAAAAGCACGAAAGAAAATCTTTTGGAAAAGAAACACACAGGAAACGTGCTCTTAAGCCCCCAAGGAAACGGGCGCAGAACCTGCCGTAAAGCAACAGGCTGAAACCTCATGTAGAGGAGCCTGTGACCCGACGTGTACGGTCAGCGCAGTAGAGAAAGGGGTCTCTCGCGCGCGTGTGTGTGTGGGGGGGTCCACCGCCCCCCTCCCTGAGTCACCTCGTCCTCCGCAGAGCCAACTCACCAGCGGGTGTGCCGAGAGAGGCCTGCTGTCCTCCTCCAGCATCATCCCCGGGACGGCGGATGCGACTACCGAGGCTCCCCCCACCGCGGCAGGCGCTCTCCGGGGGGCGGCCTGCGGCTGGGACGGCGCGCTCTCTCGCCGCACGCCTGTCTCTTCCCTGGCGCTGGACGGGCTGCCTCGGCCACCCTGGCTAGGGCAGGTGCTGGCCCCCTGCAGGGAGACAAGGTCCCTCCGGCTCTCCCCGCTGGCCGCATCCTCTCTGCTCCCAGAAGGACGGCCTTCCCCGGGACGCGCGGGCGCTCCTGCTCGGGGCGGCTCGCTTCCTCCGCTTGCGGGTCGGGCGTCGTCCTGCCCCTGGGGCTCGTGGGCTTTGTCTTCCGGGGCCTGGGTCCCGTTCCCCACCTCTAAGGCCAGTTCCGTCGCGGTGCCCTTCGAGAGAAAGGAAAACCTCCGAGTGACACTCAAGCCGTGATCCGGGGCAGCCCTGCTTTGCTCAGCTTCCCTAAGTTTCCTTCCGAATCGGTGCACACAGTCCTGAGGACTAGAAACACGATGCTGCATCACGCCAATTGGAAGAGAAAGCTGAGCATCTGAGCGGCTCGCCCGGGCCCCATGGCCAGACAGGCCTGCACAGCCGGCCCCTCCGCGGCCCGAAGCAGCAAGCGCCCCGGGCGCTCAACTCACGGCGGCGGGCGGGCGGCGGGCGGCGTCCTCGGCGGCTGCGGGGCCCGGGGAAGCGCTGCCCTGCGCCGGGAGCGACTCCTGCCGCGGCGGCGCGCCTGCGTCCCGAGCCGC